ATCATTAGTTGGACTACAGGCACATGTTACCATACCTGGCTTATTATGTTGTATTGGAGTCTCGATAACTTTTGCTTAGGCTAGCTCTGAGCAGTGATCCTCCTGATCTCTGCCTTTTGAATAGCTTGGATTACAGATGTAAGCCACTATGCTTGGCCCCAGAGTCAGTATTTAAATCCAGTTTTGAAGCTTTTACCTACCACCCACTTTTTTATTTTGGAATTTTGGCATAGTTTACAAAAAAAGCGCATATGTTTTAACTGTACAAGTTAGTGACTTTCAATGTGCATACTCTTTTTTTCTGTTGGTCATGGGCCTTGAACTCTGGGCCTGAGCGCTGTCCTTCAGCTCTTCAGCTCAAGGCTAAAGCTCTACCACTTGAGCTATAGCGCCACTTCCAGTTTTTTTTCTGGTGGTTTATTGAAGATAAGAGTTTCATGGACTTTCCTGCTGGGCTGGCTTTGAACCACTATCCTCAGATCTCAGCCTCCTGAGTAGCTAGGATTACAGGCATGAGCCACAGTGCCCAGTTTGAACATGCATATTCTTGTAAAGAGCACCACAACAATCAAGGTAGCAAACAGAGCTTTTGTTTCTCAAGAGTTTCTCTTCATGTAACTGTAACCCTTCTTTCTGTACAGTATCTTTAATATATAAATATATATAATATGTATATATATAGTTTCTCTGTGCTGCTTGGTAATCCCTCCTCCCTGACCTCCAGAGAATTAATGACCTGCTGTTTCTTTTTCTTTTTCAAATTCTTTATTGTGATTAAGTCATTACATAATCTCCCAGATTTCACAGTATTGTGGGATAATGATGCTTAATTAAAGTCACAAACACATTCTAACTTTCATGGGGGCAAATTGTCTATTGTTGACCTGCTATTTCTATTTTAAATTCCTCTCTAATTTCCATTTCTGCTTTAAATTCCTCTATAAAGGATTTTGTCTGGTTTCTTTTCATTCAGCATAATTATGTTAAAATTCCACTCACAGTGTTTTGTGCATCAACAGTACTTCTTTTTTTTTTTAATGGTTGAGTAGTATTCCTCTGTATGAATATAAATCACAGCACTGATCTGTTCACGTACAAGTCTTTGAACATATGCTTTCATTTCTCTTGGATAAAAGCTTCTTTGAAGTACAATGGGTGAAGCCAGGTGACACACATGTAATCCTAGCTACTCGGGAGACTGAGATCTGAGGATTGCAGTTCAAAGCCTATAGGAAAGTACAAAATTCTTATCTCCAATTAATTGCAAAAAACAAAACAAAACAAAAAACAAAGTGGAGCTGTGGCTCAAGTGGTAGAGCACTAGCCTTGAACACAAAAGCTCAGGGACAGCACACAGACCCAGAGTTCAAGCCCCAAGTGGCACCAAAAAAGAAAGAAAAGAAAGGAAGGAAGTGGCATTGTAGCTCAAAGAGGTAGAGCCCTAGCTATCAGTGGAAAAAGCTCAGGACCACACTGAGGCCCTGAGTTCAAGCCCACCAACTGACCAAAAAAAAAAAAAAAAAAAGTGCAATGTTGGATCAAATACTTGTCTTATGATTCTTAACTGTCCCCCCCCTCCTTTCCCTGATCCTTTAACTTTTTATCTTTTTATGTTTCATTTTAAAAAATATTTGTTTGTTTTTATTAAGTAGTTGCACAAAGGAGTTTCAACTCTTAGCTGTGACTCTTAAGTTTGAAGGAAGTCCTGAGCTGTTTTTCAGAGCAGATGGGTTAATTTGCATTTTCATTCTCAGTGTCTTGAGAGTTCTGTTGCTCCTTAACCGCGCAGCAACATGAGATGGCAGTCATCTTAATTTCGCTCTCTTCTGATTGCTGTGTGATGCTGTCTCATTGCACTTTCAACTTTTACATCTCTGAGGACTAATAAAAGAGAATGCCTTTTCATGTGGGTATTTGCCATATTTGAATCATTTTTGTATAGCACCCATTTCAATTGGTTTGTTCTGTTAATATTGAGCTTGTGTTACTCTGAGATCTAAGAATTGTGGTTCGAAGCTAGCCTGGGCAGGAAATCCGGTGAGACTCTTTTTCCAATTAGCCAGTAAAAAACCGGAAGTGGAGCCATGACCCAAGTGATAGGGTGTTGGCTTTGAGTGACAAAGCTAAGGGACAGTGTCCAGGTCCTGAATTTAAGCCCCAGAACTGGAATACACACAAAAAATGTTGAGTTTGTTTATTCTGGAAACAAGTCCTTATCAGAGAATGTGCTTTTCAGATCTTTTCTCCAGTATAGTGCCTATCTTTCTGTTCTCTTAATAGTACCATGTTTTTCAGAGATGAGAAGCTTAAGTTTTGGTGAAGTCAAATAATTGACTTTTTTCATGGGTTGTGCTTTTGATGTATCATATGGGAAATCTTTGTCCCAAGGAAGGTCATGGTGATTTTTTCCCTAAGTTCTAAGCTTTCCACTGACCCATTCCAGTTGATTAGTATAGAAGTAGAAACTCTGGTTGCAGTGGGGTTTTTTGTTTTGTTTTTTGTTGGTCGTGGGCTTGAACTCTGGGCTTGGGCGCTGTCTGTGCGCTCTTCAGCTCCAGGCGAGCGCTCTACCACTTGAGCCACAGCGCCACTTCCGGTTTTCTAGTGGTTTATTGGAGATAAGAGTCTCAGAGAGTTTCCTATCCGGTCTGGCTTTGAACCGTGATCCTCAGATCTCAGCCTCCTGAGTAGCTAGGATTACAGGTGTGAGCCACTGGCACCGGGCTTGCAGTTATTTTTTCTTATTGTAGTTTATCAGGTTGTTGTAGCATTGTATCTTGAAAAACTATTGTTACTCCACTGTTGAAAATTAGCTGTCCATATGTGTACAGCTGTTAGTGGCTTTTGTTGATTTCAATGGTCTGTTAAGTCTTGGCACCATTACTACACTGCCTTGATGACTGTAGCTTTCTCTTTTAAAATTAAAAAAAATGTGTAATTGTCTTTAGGTAGTCATGTGAAAGGGTTTCAACAAATTCGCCTATAAACACAACACATCTTTTTTTTTTTTTTTCTCCTTCTATGTGTTTTATTTTTTTTTTTTAATTTAATTTTATTTGTGAACATACTGTACAGAGGGGTTACAATTACATGGGCAGGATAATGCGTACATTTCTTACCAAGCATTGCAGCCTCCTCCTTTGGTTTACCCTTCACATCCCTTCCCAGCCTCCCCCCTCCCCCCAATCCCAATCCTTCTGCTTCCCTCCCCCCCCCCCCCCCCCCACCGACGTTGCAAAGCTCATTTTGGACATGACAACTTGTACTTCTCATTGTTGCAACAGGTCCACCTGTATCCTTAAACAACTGGTTTTTCTCCATCTCCTCCACAAGTTATACTGACATCAAATATAGTGAAATCAGGGGTTATACTGTGGGGGAGGGACATACAAAGCCACAAAGAGATAATCTTATAAACACAACACATCTTGATGTATATCACTCAGTGTTAGCAGGTGAGTGCCTGTGTTTCACACCTGTAATCCTAAATTATTCAGGAGGCTGAGCATAGGGGATCAAAGCCAGCCTGCACACAGAGAGTCTGTGAGATTCTTGTTTCTGTTATACCAGCAAAAATAAAATCGAAAGTGGAAGTATTGCTCAAGTGGTATAGTACCAGCCTTGAGTGAAAAAGCTAAGGGGTAGTGCCTAGGCCCTGAGTTCAAGCCCCAGTACCAGTATAATAAATAGATAAATAATAAACCAACTGTTTATTGCTGAACTAATTCCTATATCACTATTCCTACAGCAGAAGGGCAATTGCCTCCATTGCTTAGATGAGCTCCCTCCCAGCCTCAACTCTCATACTCTCCCCCACACACACACACACACTGCGGCCTGAGGGCCTTCCCCGGGCCTTCCCCTGCAGAGGGCTCTGGTCCCCTTTGTTGTTGGGACTTTTGTCAAACTATGCAGAGCAGATGTGGCCACTTCCCTAATCTTCGGGTGTTCAGTGGCTTTGCCAGAAAGTGAGAAGAGCTGAGTAACTCCCCCACATCACTTCCCACTCTCCCTTTCTCCCTAGATCAATCCATGCCGTGGCCAGGGCGGGGTTGGAGAGGGTAAAATGCCCATTGGCTGGGGCTTGGCCGGTGCATCTTCAAATGTTCCTCAGCTCCAGGCAGTCTAGAGCTGAGAACATCCCCATATTTCATATGAACAAACTGAGGGTCTTCGAGACCTCATGCCTTGCCAGGGTGTCCCAGCCAGCAGTGTGGGGCCGCACCTTGACCCCAGGTCTATGACTCCACATCTGGCAGGGCTCCCCACCCCCTCCCCCCCACTGGCCTTTCAGCCGAGTCCCAGGCTTTCCTCTCTTGTTCTACTTGCTAATTATTGTTTTTCAACTGTAGGGGTTCCTTGGTCCTGGGCCTCTGGGAGAGGGATAATTACATCCTTCCAGATGCCCTTAGTTAGCAGCTCCCCATTAGGCTGTATGACCAAGTCCAGCACTGACCTTCATCCGTCCTTCCCCCATTCTCAAGCGAGGGCTTGGAGGTCAGCAGGACCTGTTTTGCTCTCACTGATGCATCTGGTTGCATCTGGCCAGACTGTCCCTCACAGAGAGGGTCACTTTTGTTTATCCAGACCCATCAAGAGGGTCCTTGGTCCTAAGGGTATGGAAGGGCTAGCTTGCTAGTGTGTCTCTGCCAGCCCTACCCAGCTGTTAAGCGTGAGGTCCTAGGATAAACTTCACTTGTGGAAAAGGCGGTGTCACCTCTTCGTGTGTGTAGGTGGTAACGGGGCTTGAACTCAGGGCCCTGTACTCTCCCTTGACTTCTTTGCTCAAGGCCTTGCGCTCTACCATTTGAGCCACCACTTCCAGCTTTTTGCTGGCTAATTGGAAGCTCACGGACTTTTCTACTCAGGTTGGCTTCAAATGTTGATCTTCATATCTCCACCTCCTGAGTAGCTTGGAGCCACCAACGCCCAGCCGATGTCACCTTTGATAGGGTTTCTCTCTCAATACTCCCTCTTCACATGCTTCTCGCTCCTTCCAGGTCCCTGGACGGCCGGCTGCAGGTGTCTCATCGGAAAGGACTTCCCCATGTCATCTACTGCCGTCTGTGGCGGTGGCCGGACCTGCACAGCCACCATGAGCTGCGGGCCATGGAGCTGTGTGAGTTTGCCTTCAATATGAAGAAAGACGAGGTGTGCGTGAACCCTTACCACTACCAGAGAGTGGAGACGCCAGGTATTGTACCACCATCACTGCCTGACAGTGGGGTTTAAGGCCTTCCTGATTCCTCCTCTTCCTCTCTGGGAGGGTTTGTGGTACTCCAGGGGTGGGAAGGGGTGGGGACTTTGCAGCCAGTCTGGCCTGGGTACTGAGCACCTCTCTGTCCCCTGGGCAGTTCTACCTCCTGTGTTAGTGCCACGACACACAGAGATTCCGGCCGAGTTTCCCCCATTGGATGACTACAGCCATTCCATCCCTGAGAACACCAACTTCCCTGCTGGCATCGAGCCCCAGAGCAATATTCCAGGTAGGCTGAGGAGGAAAGCAGGAGCAGCTCCCTTAGTGTCCCCTGTCTTCCCCTCTGCACACAGCCCTGGGCTTCTGACTCAGAACTGCTTCCCTATTGGGAGATCACCCGTGGCCTTAGCTCCCCACTCATGATGCTTTTCTTGGCAAGGAGAAACAGCGTGACCCTTCCGCCCAGCCGCAGCTCAGTCATTTATTTTGGAAGCGGAAATAGCAGTACTGTGTTTCTCTCGCCGCCCTTTGGGGGCCGCAGCTGCCAGTGGTACTCTGGGGCTCAGGCAGGATCCCCATGATGGCTAAGGGGATGCGGTGGGGCCTGCAGAGCCCAGGGTGAGCCAGCCCAGGGCCAGTGAAATCCCAGGAGGGTGGGACTTGAAATAGCTCAGTCTTGCAATAGAGGAATATAAGCTCCACTGTCAAGACAATAATACAAATACTGTGTGAATCACCAAACTGCGCTCTGGGCATCCAGAGGAGCTGGGCTTGGCCACATTGGGGCCAGTCAGGGCAACTCTTGCTTGCCGGGGCAGCCATCCAGATGTGTTCCTTTTAGAGTGTTCTAACTTTGGACGTGGCTTTGGCTCTTGCGGGGTTGGCTAGTGGGCTGAGGTTAGCTGTGGCCCGTGTGTCTAGCGTTCAGAGCACTGGGAGAGACGTGTTCTTCAGCCTTTCGGATCCTTGCAGGTAATTCTGGTCTGGGGAGTCCAGAAAGCAGACTTAGGGGGGTGGGGGTGGGGGTGGGGCTAAAGCAGGGCCGGGGGCTCAGAGAAACAGATCCCACAGTTTGCTGTCACAGAATGACTCCCTTGCTAGAAGCTAAGCCACATATGTCCCCTTAGAGACCACAGAGTGTGGCAAAAGCAAGTGGATCGGCTCAGCAGGAGACACTAGGGGGGCAGAGGGGCTCCCCGCTGGAGGCCATAGCTCTTCAGAGGACAGACATGGGTGAGGCAGGGCAGGTCCAAACACCTCCTTGGAGAAAGGGCCCGACTTGGGGCACAGGGACAGTCGGCTTGGCAGCAGCCCTAGGACTGGGGAGCTAGGTGGGAAGCTGGAGGTTGGAGGTGGGCAGGCCTGAGTGCAGAGATCCTGGCAGCTGGTAGGTGCCCCTCACTTCAGCACCCCTTCAAAACCTCATACTGGAGAGAGAAGCCATGGTTGCCTTTTAATGGACCACCTACCTTTTGTTTCCCAGAGACCCCACCCCCTGGCTACCTGAGTGAAGATGGAGAAACCAGTGACCACCAGATGAACCACAGTATGGATGCAGGTCAGCTGGCCCTCCCCTCCCCTCCCCTCTCCTCTCCTCCCATCCCCTCCCCTCCCTTCCATTCCCTTCTCTTCTTCTTTTTTTTTTTTTTTTCCTTTTCCTTTCTCATGGGTGAAAGGCACTTTGTTCAGATGCCAGCCTCACAAACGATTGAGGAAGATTGATAAGTGGTTAGCCACTACAATCTCCTTTGGGCCCTGGTAGGAGATGCCCCCTGTGACTGGGCCCAGGGGATGCCGCCGATAGTGGTGTAGACTTTAATTTAATTGTGCTAGTCCTGGGCCTTGAAGTCGGCCTTGGTGCTGCCCCTGAGCTTCTTTGTGCTCCAAGCTAGCACTCTACCACTTTGAGCCCCTGCACCACTTCTGGTTTTCTGGTGATTCATTGGAGATAAGAGTCTCATGGACTTTTCTTCCCAGGCTGGCTTCAAGCTGCAATTCTTACTCTAGTATACTTTTTATAACTCAGTAAAAGACAACTCAAGCCGGGTGACTGTGGCTCAAACCTATAATCCTAGCTGCTCAGGAAGCTGAGATCTGAGGATGGAGGTTTGAAGCCAGCCCAGGCAGGAAAGTCTGTGAAACTTATCTTCAGTTAACCAGCAGAAAGCCAGAAGTGATGGTAGAGTTCAAGAGCACCAGCCTTGAGCAAAAAAATGCTAAGAGAGTATGCTCAGGCCTGAAGTCAAGGTCCTAGTACCAACACACACACACACACAGACACACACACACACACACACACACACACACACTCCAGGAACAATTTTTTTTCTGATGGCCAGCAGAGACCGTAGGAGTAACTACTTTGCTCTGGTTGCTCTGATCAGGAGAGGTCTGGCCTATTGCTCTCTTTCCACATCTCCAGATGTTTCCCACATCATTTATTATGGGATCAAATTGGCTCCAAACCAGCAGCGCCTTGAATGGAACCCCAGCTGCCACATGGAGGGAGCAGCTAGCAAGCCTGCATTGCTGCATTGTGTGTGGTTGGGTGAGGGGAGGAGGGAGCTGAGCAGATGTCCCATCTCGATGGTGGCAGGCACGCTTGCGCGCACACTGAGCTGCTAGACACGGTGGAGCCACCTGCTCTGGGTATAGCCCAGAGGAGATTGTGCAATTCCTCAAAGAACCAGAAGCTCACATATGCATTGTAAATAGAGGTGCTGGGGTCACCACACACACCCACCGCAGCTGGCAGGCATAGATGGTCTTGCTATAGTCAGTGCCAAGTAACCACTGCAGGCTTACAGATCTGAAAGGCTGGCATAAGAAGCACAGTAGCTACGCAGTGTTTCTCCAGTCCTACTGGGATTTTTGTCACACTCCTTTCTTGCTTTCGTCTTCGTTGGTCTCTGTCTCTGACATTTACTATTATGAACAAACACAACCAGAGGACATGGGAGGTATATGGGAAAGATAGCCACCTGTCTACCTCTCTGCCTCTTCTTCCTTCCACCCCTTCTTTCTCCTTCTTCTTGTCTCATTGTTTTCCTGTCCCTTCTTCTTACTATAGCATTCAGATGTGATCATTTGTGATTTCTCTAAAAGGGAGGAAGACTAGCTTTGGGGGGAGCCCAGCCAGTCTAAACATGTGTGAGTAGAGGTCTCTATTCTTGGTTCTTCCTCAGAGCTGACCATTTGCATCCCAGACCCTTTGCTCATGAGGCTTGGCTTCCTTGCTAGGTCAAGTGGACAGGTATTTTTGTCACCGTGGTCACTTTTGGGTCTTCCCCTTAGCACCATCTATGTCCTATGAGACCAGGGAGAAAGTTCTAGAGTTTTCTTGTCTTTGCAAATCCAGCCAACACAAAATAAAACACATATTTACTGATTGCCTACTGTAACTGTGTACCAGTCATGGTGTTAGTGTGTGTGTGTGTGTGTATGCACGCACACTGGGGATTGAACTCAGGGCTCTGTCATTTAAAGTCAATGCCCCAGCTCATTTTTGGTCTAGTTTATTTTTCAGATAGGGTTTTGTGCTTTAGTCTAGTCTGGTCTCAAGCCACAATCCTCCTACTCTCACACTTCCCTAGTCGCTGATATGGCAGGTGTGTGTTCCCATGCCTGGCTACATTAGCACCTTTATAGGAAAATTCTTCCTTAATTTTTGTAAGTCAAAAAAGACCACATTAGGGGCTGGGAAGGTGGCTCAGTGGTAGAGCGCTTGCCTTGCATGCCTGAGGCCCTGGGTTTGATTCCCCAGCACCACATAAGCAAAAAGAAAAAAAGCCAGAAGTGGCGCTGTGGCTCAAGTGGTAGAGCGCTAGCCTTGAGCTGAAGAGCTGAGGGACAGTGCCCAGGCCCAGAGTTCAGGCCCCACGACTGGACCCAAAAAAAAAAAAAAAAAAAAGACCACATTATCCTCATCTTATACCATTGGGGAAAATTAGGATTCAAAGGTTTAGAAGACATTTGACTATATAGCTCACATGTGGTGAGTGGTGTCTATATCCCATGACTGACTTTGGTCCTGTCTGTCCCATTGCATTCGGTGTTATGGGGAAGAAGAAACTATGGTCCATCTCTGTTGCCATGGAGATTCTAGCTGTGGATGAGACAAAAGAACCCCTAGGAAAGTACAAGATGGTGTGTGCTTGAGACCCAGAGTAGGCCCAGCTTAAGGACTGTGTTGTCTTACTTACTGTAAGTCACCACTCAGCCAGAACCACACAGGCACTTGGGCTGGAGGGTCAATAAGCAGAGGCTGCTGTATGGAAGGCAGCTGCAGAATTTCTTTGATGGCTGATGATGCTGTGCATTTTTCCTTTCTTCTGGGATTGAGGGTAGAGATAAGATGCCAGAGTGTGAACTAGGTAGAGTTGGACATTTTCCTGTATGAGCCATCTTGCCATGCACTATCTGTCTGCTGGCTGAGTGGCAGGATTCCCAGGACTGGTTTATGAATTTCCTAAAGTTGATATTTGCAGGTACTAGAGCTATTGCACCTGGTGGGCTGGACATGGCAGAATTTGTTGGGAACACCAGTGTGCCTATAGTGGCATCGCCTGTCAGAGCTGTCTGGGGTGTGTGTGTGTGTGTGAATGTGAGTGTATTCATGTGTCCTGGGGCTTGAACTCAGGGCCTGGGCACTGTGCTGGAGCTTTTTTGGCTCAAGGCTGGCACTCTTACCACTTGAGACACAGCTCTACTTACAACTTTTTGATGGTTAATTGGAGATAAGAATCTCACAGACTTTTCTGCCCAGGCTGGCTTCAAACTGCAATCCTCAGATCTTGGCCTTCTGAGTAGCTAGGGTTACAGGCACGAGCCACCAGCATCTGGCTACAGATGTCTGTTTTATTAACCTTGCCTTTCTGGCATTTGTGCATCCAGCATTGATGTCTGAACTTTGCCTGTGGAGTCATCATGTGTATGGGTTTTTTTTTTCCACTCCAAAGAATGGAAAACATTGTGTTATTTTGTAAACACTTTTCCAAATAGGCTCTTGATGGATGTCTGTGTGTTTCCAGACCTTGCCTGACAATGTGAGATAAAACTATCATTTGGAATATTGGAGATGCTTCAAGTCCCTTTAAATGAAGCCAACCCTTTAAATGAAGCCAATCAGAGCTGGGTGCCAGTGGCTCACATCTGTAATCCTAGCTACTCAGGAGGATGAGATTGGAGGATTGTGATTTGAAGCCAGAAATGGTTCTGTGACTCAAATGGCTCAAGAGCACCAGCCTTGAGAGAAAAAGCTAAGACATAGCACCCAAGCCTTGAGTTCAAGGACCAGCACATACACACAAAAAGCAATGTGTGGATGGAGTGCAGCAGAGGCTGGAAATGGCTTTTGAGCCTTGGGCCTCTTGCTACCTGGGGCTGGGCATGGCATGGCAGGGGAGAGGACTCCTGTCATCTCATTTTCCTGGATGCGGTTTGTCTTTCCTAAGGGCAGGTGTGTGTGTGCTGAACACAGCCTTGGGCTGGGGCCTTGTGTAGGATCCTAACTGCTCAGGTTGCCAGAGGACCGTAAGGCCCTCTGTTCTATCCATCCATTCCACAGAGCTCAGTGGGCCTAGGGAGGGGAAATGAGGCCAGACTTGGCTTCTCCAGGCTTGGTCCAGGCTTCTCGGCCCTGGTGATGATTAGCCACTCATCTTGATGAAGTGTTAAGTAATTCAGCTCCCTCTCCCTCCTCCCCACCTCCCCCACCAGATCACTTATAAAGTCTCACAACTGTGTTTCACCTTGCAGGTTCTCCAAACCTATCCCCGAATCCGATGTCCCCAGCACACAATAACTTGGGTGAGTAGCTCTTCTTCGGCTGTACATGTGGGATCCTCTTCTGGATGCAGACCACTGGTGGCCCTTGAGGGAGGGGGCCTTGGAGGTGAGGCTCCGACACCAGCCCAGACCCCGCCCGCTGGGTTCTGGTTATAGCCAAGCTAGGTCATGGCAGAACAGGGAAATCTGAGAGCACTGGTGGCAGCAAAGACACCATAGGCCTGGGATTGTGTTTCCTCAGTGTGGTGTTCAGACGTGAGTGAATGAAAATCCTGCAGACCTTAGACCTAGAAGATGGGGCTGTGGTCAGCCAAGCTCACTGTGTGGTTTGGGGCAAGACCACAGGCAGCTGTGCACACACCGTCTGCGGCTTCCATAGACTTACTCAAATGCACCGATTTGTCTTGAAACAAACGTGTTTGTTTTTTAAAGTGCTGGTCCTGGGGCTTGAACTCAGACCCTGCTCACTGTCTCTGGCTATTTTTGCTCAAGGATAGCATTCTACCCTTTGAGCCACAGCTCCACTTTTAGCTTTTTTGTTTTTGTTTTTTTTGTTTTTTAGTTCTTCATGGGGAGTTAAGAGTCTCATGGACTCTACTGTTCAGGCTGGCTTCAAACCATGATCCTCAGAGCTGAGCCTCCTGAGTAGCTAGGATTACAGGCGTGAGCCACCAGTGCCTGGTTTGTAACAGTTGGTTACTAAAGCAGCAACATTTAAAGAATCTGGCAGGAAAATGCTAGTGTACCCATAATGGCACCACCTGCCACAGCTGTGCGATGTCCTGTGTTTCTTCTGTTTTTTTGTTGCTTTGTTTTGTTTCCTGGCACTTGTGTGTCCAGCATTGATATCTGAGCCTTGCCTGTAGGGTCACTGTGTATATTATTTGTGTTATTTTGTAAATGTGTTTCCATATTTGGATGCCTTGGTTTTGGTTTGCTTTATCTCACGAGGTTTTAGAGTACCAGGCCCTGTTTACAAACAGTCCCCCGGTTTTGGACTGCTGGGTCAGGGTTCCCTAGAGTTGCAGGGCTAGCCAGGAAGTGTCCTTCGGCTCTTGGGCGTAGCAGCTGTGTGGAGGTTATGGTTGAAGTTTGCCTGAGGGCTGAAAACCATTGAATGTCTGGGTTGGGTTTGTTTTTGTTGGTGCTAGTACTGAGTCTTGAACTCAGAGCCTTGCATTCTTTCTTAGCTTTTGTGCTCAAGGCTGGCACTCTGCCATTTGATCTACATCTCCACTTCTGGCCTTTTGCTGGTTAACTGGAAATAAGAGTCTCATGGACTTTTCTTGCCCCTCCTCTGAGTAGCTTGGATTACAAGTGTGAGCCACCAGTGCCTGGCATGTTTATTGTTTTTATTGAGGGAACTTTTGATACTCTGGTCTTGTGGATCGTCTTGAGGTATTACAAGCTGGCCCTCACTAAATTGCCCAGGAACAGTGATCATTAATGTCAGGTGTGGGGATCCAAGTGGTTTGACTCTCATGCCAATGTGTTTCTAGAGCTTGACTGACAGTGTCAGATACAACATCATTTGGAAAATAAAGAGATGCTTGAAGGTGTATTTTTCTGGTCCTAGGGCTTGAACTCAGGGCCTGGATATTGTCCCTGTTTTGTTTTCTCGATGCTAGCACTCTACCACTTGAGTCACAACTCTACTTCTGGCTTTTTGCTGGTTTATTAGAGAAAAGAATCTCACAGGCTTTTCTGCCTGGGCTGGTTTCGAACTGTGACCCTCAGATCTTCAGCTTAAAACTCACTTTAGAATGTAGAAGTATTGGGGGCTGGGAAGGTGGTTCAGTGGTAGAGCGCTTGCCTTGCATGCCTGAGGCCCTGGGTTCGATTCCTCAGCACCACATAAGCAAAAAGAAAAAAAAAAACCCGGAAGTGGCGCTGTGGCTCAAGTGGTAGAGCGCTAGCCTTGAGCTGAAGAGCTGAGGGACAGCTCCCAGGCCCAGAGTTCAGGCCCCACAACCGGACCCAAAAAAGAATGTAGAAGTATTGTCAATTTTCACTTTACAGATTAGAAAACCAAGAATAGACTTGTGAACTCACTCAGGTTAACTTAGTTTAACTCAGGTTAAACTGCTGAACAGGGAAGCTGGCTTTGAACTCAAGACTTCTTGGGACATAGCATGTGTCCCCACTACAGCAGATCACTGCTTTGTGTTCCACTGAGACCAGGTACCCCTGCTAGTCTCACTCAGAAGGGTAGTCATTAACCAGTTTGTCCCACCTTATTCCTTTGTTACGAAGCTACCTCGGGCCCAGTCACCCTGTGCCAGTCTAGATGTGGGGGGAGGGAGGATTGGTAGATCCATCAGAGACCGGCCTGGAGATGCTCCGTGGTCTTGTTGGGTTCCTAAGAACAAAAACTAATTCTAGAACAAGAGGCTGGATAGCTGGGTGCTGGTGGTCCATGTCCATAATCCTAGCTACTCAGGAGGCTGAGATCTCAGGATCCTGGTTCCAAGACAACCAGGCAGGAAAGATCACTGGGCTCATCTCTAATTAACCAACAAAAAAAGCTGTAAGTGGAGCAGTGGTTCAAGTGATAGATCACTAGCTTGAATGAAAAAGCTAAGGAACGGTGCCCAGGTGCACATCGACACACACACACACACACACACACACACACACAATAGTGTTGTAAGCTAGGTTCTGGGGCTCAGACTTGTAACCCTAGCTACTCAGGATGCTGAGATCTGAGGATCATTGTTCAAAGCCAGTCTGGGCAGGAAAGTTCGTGAGACTCTTATCTCCAATTAACCACCAGAAAACCAGAAGTGGAGCTGTGGCTTAAAGTGGTAGAATGCTAGCCTTGAGTGAAAAAGCTCTGGGACATCACTCAGGCCCTGAGTTCAAGCCCCATGACCACCACCACCAACAACAACAAAAAGAAAGGTATGGTTGTGAGGTTATTATACAGAAGGAAACTGTGACTTCCTCTTTCATGCCCTCCCCATTTTGGTGTGGGCCCCAGGTCTGGGAAAGGTTGAGTATCCTGCCACACAGCAAAGCCACGCCCCCAAAGCATGACCAAGGCCCAGCCAGGCCTACTGCACTCGGGAGCCCTAGGACGTTTGTTTTGCAGGGGGCTGTGAGCAGGTGATGGGCTGTTACACATAGTGCTGGGTGAGTCACCTGGAATTTCCCAGGCATGTAACTCAGAAAGGTTGGAACAAATGAAGGGGAAGGAGGTGGCAGGTGGAGAGAGGAGAAAGGTAACGCGCCGGCTCCTGCCAGGTGAGTAAGTTGTTCCCTGCTTTCCTGTGAGACATTCAGGGAGTGGCTGGACTTGAGGAATAGGCCCAGGAGCACCCCAGGGGCAACAGCTGAGCTGCCATTCCAGAAGTTGATGCCTTCTCGCAGCATCCTGGCAGGATAAGCCTTGCCCTCTGGCACGAGAGCAGAAAGGGTGGATGGCAGGGCAGCTGCAAGGTAGGAGGCCCCTGGCCCTGAAGAGAAGACAGGAGCCCAGGCCACAGGCCTGACCAGGTGCCACTGTGCCCATGCTGCCACACACATACCTTTCTTTTCCCTCTTTCTCTCCCCTACTCACTCCTCTCTCCCCCACCTCCCTCCCTCCCCTCCCTCCTTCTTCCCTCCCTTCCTCCCTCCCTCCCTTCCTTCCTTCCTTCCTTCCTTCCTTCCTTCCTTCCTTCCTTCCTTCCCTCCTTCCTTCATGCCTTCTTTCCTTCCCTCCTTTCCTTCTCTCTCTCTCTCTCTCTTTTTTATTTTTTTATTTTTTTGCCAGTTCTGGGTCTTGTCCTTGAGGTTTTTGTTTTTTGTTTTTGTCAGTTGTAGGGCTTAAACTCTGGGCCTGGGCGCTGTCCCTGAGCTCTTCAGCTCAAGGTAAACGCTCTACCACTTGAACCACAGCATCATTTCTGGTTTTCTGGTGGTTAATTGGAGATAAGAGTCTCACAGACTTTCCTACACAGGCTGGTTTTGAACCTGGATCCTCAAATCTCAGCCTCCTGAGTAGCTAGGATTACAGGCATACGCCACTGGTGCCTGGCTAGTCCTTGAATTTTTATGCTCAAAGCTAGTACTCTACCACTTGAGGCACAACTCCATTTCTAGTCTTTTTGGTAGTTCATTGGCTAAAGCTGGGGGTGCCTTTGAACCATGAGCCTCAGATCTCAGCCTCGTGAGTAGCGAGGATGACACTTGTGAGCCACTGACACTAGGCACAAGGTACTTTTCTCAGGTTCTCTCTAGCATCAGTCTTCGGTAGCTTGTAAATTCACAGGCAAGGTGAAATGATGATATGATGAAAGACAGGAAGTTGGCCCTGTACTACATCCTCACCTTCCTGGGACCTGTAGACTTTGCTGTTGTTCTTGATTACATTGAACTGTTAGGCTAAAAGATCACAAGGTTGTGTGTGTGTGTGTGTCTGTCTGTCTGTCTGTCTGCCTGCCTGCCTGCCTGCCTGTCTGTTCATCCTAGGGCTTGAACTCAGGGCCTGGGCACTATCTCTCAACTTTTTTTGCTCAAGGCCAGTGCTTTACCACTTGAGCCACAGCTCCTCTTCTGGCTTTTTGGTGGTTAATTGGATGTAAGAGTCTCATGGACAGGCTGGGAAGGTGGTTCAGTGGTAGAGTGCTTGCTTTGCATGCATAAGGCCCTGGGTTCAATTCCTCAGCACCACATAAGCAGAAAAAGCTGGAAGTGGCGCTGTGGCTCATGTGGTAGGGTGCTAGCATTGAGCTGAAGAGCCGAGGGACAGCACCCAGGCCCAGAGTTCAGGCCCAACTCCGACAAAAAACAAACAAACAAGCAAAAAAACCAGAGTCTCATGGACTGCCATGCCTGGTCTGGTTTGAACAGACTCTCATGGACTTTCTTGCCCCGGCTGACTTTGAACTGTGGTCCTCAGATTCTCAGTCTCCTGAGGAGCTAGGATGACAGGCGTGAGCCACTACCATTCCATGCTTTCAATTAGAGCAGAAAGCGAATCCCTCTCACCTTTGCTGCATTCAGATCTTTTGCACATGTTACTAATAGTCGTCTCTGAACCCAAGCATTGCCTTCTGGATTTTATTGTTTTCTTTTCCTTAAACAAAACAGAAAGTCTATGCCAACTTGGAACAGGGCTCAAAACTGAAGCCGGCCAATGTGTTTGGCTGGCAGGGGGCCAGCCAAGAATTGAGCACCCATGCCACTTAAGAATGGCTGGCGAACACCATACAGGTGGGGGAGGGGCCCGTGACCACTGCAGCTGGAGGATGCTATGTGTCCCACACCACTGCTCTGGTAAAAGATTAGCACAATCCAGCAGTCTGATAGGAACAGGGCTGTGGCTTTGGCATGTGCCATTGTCTACCAGCCCAGGTATTCAGAGTCTCTGGTTTTTAAACCAGGGCCTGCTCACTAGCTTGACTGCTGAAGCCGGGAAAGGGGGAGATTCTTGCCACCTCCCCTGAAGATTGTTAAGGTTTAGTGCCAGGACAGGCTTTGTTTCCCTCAGGGATCTGTTGAGCCCTGTGCATCTGCCCATCACACTTGGATTATATTCTGTTTTTTGCTTTGTCTTCTCAGAAGCTCAGAGCCAAGTTGAGCCCTCTTTCAGTAAACACACATGGTTATCCTGTGTGATACAGCTTCTTCTTGTGTAGAATTGTGGCGTTTTGCTCTTAGTGCACTGATTGTGCTGTGGATCTTTAGTGGGAAAGAAATGGGGGTAGATGTCCAGTTTACAAATGTAGTCAGGCATGGTAGTGTACACGTATAATCCCAGCTCTGTAAATCTGAGCTCCTTGGAAGACAGAGAGGCAGGATGATTGAGAGTTGTGGTTCGCCTGGACAACGGTGACAATAGGCCCTGTCTCAGGAACAAAAACAAATAACCAAACAAAAAAGCCAAACTGGTAGAGTGCTGGCCTATCATGTGCAGAGCCCTGAATTCAAACACCAGTAATATCACAAGCTGACCACCGCGTTTGGTTTGCAGCTCATCTTGCAGAAAGGAGGGAGAGAAGCACGGTTGCCTTATCGTTGTTTGCAGTGTCTAGAAAAGTATAATGTGCTACCCAGGTCTGTCCTGCTTGTGAGCCAGGGCAGCTTATCCACACAGCACTGTGAAAACAGTGGCCTGCAGACTTAGCACTAGCATGGTGACTGTGCACCTCCAACCAGCACCTTGCTAATGATGTGTCGAGCTACATATCCAATGTTTCCATAACTCTGTGTCTGCAGTTGCGGGGTGTTTGGAGAAGGGTTTTAATCTGCTTGTCAGGGTCTCTCAGCCTAGGACCCCTTGAAGCCACCCGTCCCTAGACCATGGTTCGGGAATTCTGTGACAGTCTTTGTGGGTCGCCTGCCAGCTTTTCTTTTGTTTGGATGGGTGGTCTATCAGTGTTCCCTGGGAGCTTTGCTCACTGTATTTTTGCCTGGACTTTTATGATTTGGGGGTGAGGATTTTGTTCAGTTCTGTGCATTGCTGAGTAAATCAGGGCTGACCCAGATCAGCCCACGCTGCCTCTTCTTCAGACTAACCTGTGCCAGATGGAGTGACCTGGAAGGTTCTCTGTAGATGTCTTCCAGTGCTCTCGTTATTGTAGCAGACTCACAAGCCCTGAGTGAAAAGGGAGAGGATGTCCCCCAAAGTCAATATACAAGGTCAGCAGGCCTGCACCTGGGCATCAAAAGCCAGCAGCTTGATAACGTTGCCTGGTTATTTTGAAGGATTTTTTCCTCCTCTCTTCCTTTTTTTGTGCCAGTACTGGGGCTTGAACACAGGGTCTGGGCACTGTCCCTTAGTTTTTTTCATTCAAAGTTGGTGCTCTACCACCTGAGCCACAGCTCCACTTCTGACTTTTGGGTGGTTAATTAGCAATTTTCTTGTCTGGGCTGGCTTCAAACCAGGATCCTCAGATCTCAATCTTCAGAGTAGCTAGGATTACAAGGCATGAACCACCGGCACTCAAATCCTTTTTTTTTTTTTTTTTTTTTAATTAAAAAAAAGCACAAAAATAACTGTTTCCAAAGCAACACAGCTCGCATTTTAGTGACTGCAGTGTTTAGAATACAGCTCATCTCACTGGAATGCTGAAGCATAGCGCAAAGGCAGACATGGCTGATGTGGCCCAAGCTTAGGAGTCAGACAGAGCACAGGCCACAGCTTTGCCTGTATCCCTGGCAGCCGTGTAGATCCCTGCCAGTGGCCTCCACTGCCTTTTTCTCCACTCTGGATGACTAGGTAGGGGCCTGAGATAGTTGGGCTCTCTTCAGGTAGAGTTTGAAACAGAACCAGGACATGCTCAATATGAAGAATCATGGTTATTCTCAACACCACATCCTGAGTGCCTGGCCCCTTTGCCTTTGGTGAGCTGGTACTGCCTATATAGTACCAGTGGGAAAGAGAACTCAGCCCTCTGGTGGAGGTGAAGTGGGAGGTAAAATCTCTATGTGACTATTTCTCTATGATCTGGCTTGACATTGAGGACCATGACTTTAACCCAGGGTATTTTCCACTACTGGAACACATCTCGCCGTGGCTGGGGGCATGTACGTGTGTGTGTGTGTGTGTGTGTGTGTGTGTGTGTGTGTGTGCGTGCGTGTGCGTGTGTGTGTCCATCTTAGGGCCTGGGCACTGTTTCTGAGCTTTTTATGCTCAAGGCCAGCACTCTACCATTTGAGCCCCAGCACCACTTTGGCTTTTTGGTAGTCAACTGGAGATAAGAGTCTCACAGAAGCTTTCTGCTCAGGCTGGCTTTGAACCACGATCCTCAGATCTCAGCCTCCTGAGTAGCTAGGATTACAGGTGTGAGCCATTGGTGCTTAGTGACTTTTTTTTTTTAAAAAAAAAATTGTCACCAGTTGAGAGAGAGAGAGAGAGAGAAAGAGAGAGAGAGGGAGAGGGGTGGATGTGAGTAACATCTAGTGGGTGCTGAGATGCTGCTGAAAATATCCTGCAATGTTTGGCACCCTTTCCTCCTAAGTCCCACGTGTCAGGAGTGCTAAGGCCTCTCCCAGCAGGGGGAGAGGCATCCTCACCCACCTGCCCTGTGTGGGTGTGAGTGGTGTGGAGGAATGTCTGTGCTTCCCCTTTACCCCGGTGGCTTCTGACCTTCAGGAGGATATGAATGCGCGTCTCTGTCAGGAGACACCTCAGCCCTTTCCTGTGAGCAGCCCAGTTTCCGGTCTCATGGAGTTGGGTTCTTCCAGAGTCAATAAGCAGAGGTCCACAGCAGACCCTTGTTCCCGGAACTTGCCTGATATGTGTGTGTGTGGGGGGGAGAGGGGCAGGGTTCTCCGGTCAGCACTGAGCCCCTCCCACCCCTCTGCATCATAGCCCATGCTGCTAGCTGAAGTAGAGGGAGAGAGAGGGGGCCCTGGGACAGTATGGTGCTCTTGGACAGTCAGAACACGTAGGAATGGATACCAGCTCATACGCAGACGTATCCTAAATGACCATGTGACTTTTAAGTATATTAAAGAGTGAGTCTGAAGCTAGGTAATCCTAGCTACTCAGGACACTGAGATCTGAGGACGTGGTTTGAAGGCAGCTCAGGCACGAAAGCCCATGAGATTCATATCTCCAATTAGCTGCCAAAAAGCCAGAAGTGGAGTCATGACTCAAGTGGTAGAGCAACAGCCTTGAGTGAAAAGGCTAAGGGACAGTGCCTAGGCCCTGGGTTCAAACCCCAGTATTGGCACTCCCTTGCTCCCCTCAAAAATATGTATGCAATGAAAGCCACACAGGGAGGAGGTCATTGACACCTCAGAGAAGTGGGAAAGAATCTTCCAGGACATTCTTGGAGGTCACTGATCCCATGCACTGTGTCTCCCCAGACTTGCAGCCAGTCACCTACTGTGAGCCGGCCTTCTGGTGCTCCATCTCCTATTATGAGCTGAACCAGCGTGTCGGGGAGACATTCCACGCCTCGCAGCCGTCAATGACAGTGGACGGCTTCACCGACCCCTCCAACTCAGAGCGCTTCTGCCTGGGTCTGCTGTCCAACGTCAACAGGAACGCCGCGGTCGAACTCACACGGAGGCACATTGGTAACAGGCGGCCATGCTTCTCACCCCTGTCCCCATCCTAGCCAGGGTAGCCTGTGCACAGTGCTCTTAACAGCTGTGCCCTGCCTCCCACTGGGGCCTGAGAAAGGACTCAGCTCCCTCATCTGCTCCCAAATTCTCTATTGTCCTAGTTACTCCCAGAAAGGCACAGAAGTTCAGATTGTTTGGTCATTCCTAACCCAAAGACCAAGATAATGTCTGAAAAATCTAGAAGCTACAGAGGGGGAAACGCCTCAATTAAGGGGATAAGGAAGGGCGATCTATGGGAAAAGCAACATGCCAAATTCTTTCAACAAAAGTATGCATACAGGCCCTGGTGTGCTGTCCAATGTCTATAGTCCCAGCTACTCAGGAATCAAAAGTAAGGACTGTGCTCCGAAGCTAGTGCTGAGCAAAAGTATGAGACCCTACCTCAAGACAAACTAAAGCAAAAAGGAACTGGGGGGGGGGGGAAGGGGGGACATGGCTCAAGTAGTAGAGTACTTGAGACTCTGAGCTCAAATTCTAGAACTACCAAAAAAAACCTACAAACAAAAAACAACCCTAACATACAGATAGGTTAGTCAGGGCTAATAAACGGGCAGTTATTCTTGAAGGAGTGATCTGTTTGTGATTTCATGAGATTATTCTAGACACTTAGAGAACGTAGAAAGATAAGATGGGCCTGATACCAAAATACCAGAGCTAGTACCATGCTGTATTACTGTATCCAGATAATAAGTTCAAACATGGCTTTGGGGGTTTAGAGGAGATAAAGCCATGTCATTTAGCTTGCTTATAAAATTATTAAGCTAAGGACAGCCATGATTTGGGGATTCAGAATGACAGACTTGGAACTTAGAAGGGCTGAGGAGAAGATACAAAAATATGTCTTCAAGGGCTGGGAAGGTGGCTCAGTGGTAGAGCGCTTGCCTTGCATGCCTGAGGCCCTGGGTTCAATTCCTCAGCACCACATAAGCAAAAAGAAAAAAGCTGGAAGTAGCGTTGTGGCTCAAGTGGTAGAGCACTAGCCTTGAGCTGAAGAACTGAGGGACAGCGCCCAGGCCCAGAGTTCAGGACCCCCCCCCAAAAAATATATATCTTCAAATACCATCCTAGAACCCCATGATTGGCCAATGGGCTTTGGAGGTGGAGGGCAATCTCATGCTCTGAGCATGGTCTCATGTTCTTCATTCTTGCTGGTTTGCTTTCTAGTCTCTGACAGAAATTGGTTCAGCTAAAAATGTAGTAGTTAAGCACCAGTGGCTCATGCCTGTAATCCTAGCTACTCAGGGGGCTGAGATCTGAGGATCACAGTTTGAAGCTAGCCTGGGCAGGAAAGTCCATGAGACTCTTGTCTCCAATGAACTCCCAGAAAACCAGAAATGGTGCTGTGGCTCAAAGTGGCAGAGTGCTAGCCTCGAGCACAAAAGCTCAGAGACAGCGCCCAGTCCCTGAGTTCAATTCCCATGACCAATAACAACAAAAGAAGATTCTAGGGGCTGGGAAGGTGGCTCAGTGGTAGAGTGCTTGCCTTGCATGCATGAGGCCCTGGGTTCGATTCCTCAGCACCACATAAGCAGAAAAAGCTGGAAGTGGTGCTGTGGCTCAAGTGGTAGAGCACCAGCCTTGAGCTGAGGGACAGTGCCCAGACCCAGAGTTCAGGCACCATGACTGGCAAAAAAAAAAAAGATTCTATGGTTGTTAGAGGGAAAGTTGGGATTTTGTGAGCCCAGGGCCTGGGTTCTGTGGGTCTGGGTCTCTCTATCACCATACTTCCCCTCCATAGAGACCCAGCACTGAGTCCTATGGAGGTTCAGGAAGGAGGGATGGGAGTCGGGAAGGGGCAGAGGAAAAGGATATCAAGTCATTCATACGGGTCAGGTACCCATGTGACCCTGGAAAGATTCTGGTTTTCCTGGTTTCACACTGGGAATGGATCAGCCATGGTTCCCAGCTAGAGAAGGGACATTCCCCCACTAAGCCCAGCTCACCGAGTATTTATATAACCACTGGAATTGCTGAGTCCATTTAAAATCAATTTCTGTCCATCTGGAGTGGATTTAAGAGATGAGGGAAAAGTAAATCTGCAAATATATGGGCTAGCCCTGAGTGGCGGCGTCCTTCAGGCTGTGGGCTTTCGAAGCTCAGAGGTTGTTTCCCCCTGAACCTTGGGTAGAAAAGGACCCAGAACAGCAGGCCGGGAAAACGGGCAGTGGGAGTTGTCCCTTGGCAGCCACCATGGTCACAGCAGCTGTACTGTCCCCATCTTCTCCAGAAAGGAGCTCAGGGAGCTGGAGATTTGACTCAAGTGATAGGGCTCTGGCCTTGAGCAATCATTGCTGAGCAAGAGCTTGAAGCCCTGAGTTCAAGTCCCAGTGCTGGCATAGCAACAACAACAAAAACAGAAAAGAGGAGGGAGCTCAGGCCCAGAGGTCATCATTGAGCTGGTGTAGGTCGTTTCTTCTCTGTCATCCGCTTCCCCTTCTTTAGAAACCCACAGATCCCATACTTGGAGGTCAGGCTGGGCTCTGGGTCCTCAGAAGTGTCCTGATTTCGCTGTTCCCAAACCCCATGCAGGGAGAGGCGTCCGGCTCTACTACATTGGAGGGGAGGTGTTTGCTGAGTGCCTCAGTGACAGTGCCATCTTCGTCCAGTCTCCCAACTGTAACCAGCGCTACGGCTGGCACCCAGCCACTGTCTGCAAGATCCCCCCAGGTAAGCCCCTCCCCCAGGGGGTCTTCACCTCGGAGGATGTGGCTGAGGTGCTGAGAGAACCCCTCTCTCTGCCTTTCCACCTCACTCGTGTTGGCATTGTTAGTTGGGTTTTCTCTGTGTCCATCTACCTGAACCTTCAGGGGGAAAGGGCAGCGTCCAACAGCCTGCCTTTAACCTGGGCACCTGCCTGCTGTGCTAGGTATGTAGGCACTCAGGCTGTCGGCCTGCCTCCCTTCTTTCCTTCCTCCATCCCTTCCTTCTTCCTCTTTCCTTTCCCTCAGCTCTTCCCACAAACATACATGGCATGCAGGTCCGTGCCAGGTACTGGAGAGGTGGAGGAGGCCATGTTTCCATCGTCATGGACAATATAGACCTCTGAGATAGGGAAAAAGAAAAAGACAAGCTGGTGGCTCATGCCTGTCATTCTGACTCCTCAAGAGGCCTCTGAGGAGGCCAACTTCAGCAGGAAAGTCTGTGAGACTCTTATCTCCAATTCACTAGCAAAAAGCTGGAAGTGAAGCTGTGGCTCACATGGTAGAGCATTAGCCTTGAGTGCAAAAGCTAAGGGACAGTGCTTAAGCTCTGAGTTCAAGCCCCAGTACACACACACACACACACACACACACACACACACACACACACACACACACACACACACACACACACACACACACAAAAGGGTGAGAAGCTGAGCCAAGAGGGCACTTCTTACTGGGGATAGCCTGGGAAAGCTTCCATGAGGAGGAGTCGGAGTCAATGAAGGCATTAGACAGACACAGCATGGCAAAGGTGTGAAAAGGACAGGAGGACCTGAGAAAGTTTTGGTTTTATCTTGGTGGAACGTTATGAGTTTTCTGAGTGAGGCTAACTCAACCCACCTGGTCTCTAAGAACATATGTCAGGTGGAGCCCAATATGTAGTTGGCACATGCCTGGGCACAGTTAAGCAGGAGGCTCCTCCAGCCAGAGCCCATTGTCCTGGGGCATGCACTCCCAGAATGTAGTCTTGTAACTGGCTGACAGGTAGCATGGCCAGGCCAGGACACAGCCCACACCACACACAGGACACCTCTTCTCCTGCTCACGGAGTGGCAGGTGACTGGGCAGGGTAAACTTCAAAACACAGACAATCCCAAACCACAGCAGTGTTCCAGGCTTCTTCAATGTGTTGTAGTTTGTATTTACAAAAAGACATTTATGTCGTTGTCTCCAGCTACACTGGTTCTGAAGTAGGGACATTAAGGAAACAAATTCGGAGTGGTTAAGCTGTGTGCCCAAGGACACACAGCAAGTGGCCAGGGCAGTGAAGAGCCTAGGACTGAATGACTTGTGTAGTGCTCTTCTACTTCTTGGCTTTACAAGCGGATCTGGCAAAGTTTGGACCTGGCTTCACCACACTTCCGGGGGAAGAGAGGAGCGGAAGCATACTTGTAATCTTGGCCCTCTGCTTGCTGTTTGGTGAGGACTGAGTGGACTCTGGTGGCATTTGTCAGATCAGAGTCATGGAACTGGGATGGCCAGTCCATCTTAGAGAGACTACACAGATCCCAAAGGCAACCAGCAGCAGTACACGGCAGAGCAGAGGCCTGTGCTGGCCCGATCATTAGCATCACCTTGGCTCACCTTTGATTTTGCCCTCATGTGCTTCTGTCTTCATTTTCCTGATTGCTACATTCCTGGCACTTGGGCTGGAGGACTTCAGATGAGAGGTTTATTTTAAACTTTATTTGTGCCTGTCTCCATTCTACTGAGTTGGACATCTTCCTTCAGTAGGTTGTATGACTTCAACCCTACTTTGTACCAGGCCAAAATGTGACCCCACTCTCTTCCTTCCTGATACAGCATGAATCTGGGGCGTGTATTTCCAACATCCCTCTCTGGGCCTTCCTGTGGCCCAGTTAGGGCCCCCAGCCACCATCAGATCATCCAGGCCAAACACCAGGGCCTGGGTCCCCTATTCTTGGATCCCTGCTTGGCCCAGGGTATGTGCTCATGGCCCTCCTCAGTTTTCCATCATAGCCTTCCACAGCTGGAGTGTGTGTGTGTGTGTGTGTGGGTGATGGTCCAGTCTTCAATCTCTACCCTCACGAGCTGTGTTTCCTGGATGAGATAGGCAGATTGAAGGACAGGGACTGAGCAGGCTCGTCTTTGGCCCTGTGCTAAGTGTGGAGTTGGTGTCCGGTGTGATCCAGGGTTCGCCTTGCCGCTGCCCAGCACTCTCTGTGTTCTCTGCAGGATGCAACCTGAAGATCTTTAATAATCAGGAGTTTGCTGCCCTGCTGGCTCAGTCCGTCAACCAGGGCTTTGAGGCTGTATACCAGCTGACGCGAATGTGTACCATCCGCATGAGCTTCGTCAAAGGCTGGGGAGCAGAGTACAGGTCAGTGCCCGGCTGCCTAGAGCTGTAGGGACAAAATTCCAGGCTCTCAGAGTGGAGGCTCCATGGAGAGTCACAAACCAAGTATGGGTCGGTGGAGCAGGTCTGGGAAGCGGGGCACAAGGTGGTGGGGATAGACAGCCCCGGATGAACAGGAAGAGAACCCTGTTTGCCTGGGTGCTTGGCAGTTTCTCAGCCCTATCAACACACATCCCATGCCCTCTTCCCCACAGGTCTGAGAGGGGACCAGTGGCATCATCCATGTCCTGTGGATGAGAGAACTGGGCCCTTAGGCGGGGAAGGGACTTGCCTGAAATCACTTGGTTGGTAGAATGGCTGAGCATCAAACATGTGCCCTTCTAGTTGCTGCATCCTGTCTTTCTGGCAGATGGGATCTTATCCAGGAAGTCATCAACCTCCACACATCTCCCTAGGACTGCATTTCTAACTCAGGGATCTTGGTTAACCCCAAGCATCTAAAGACATGAAAAACAACCATCAAGGAAGGAGATGAGCTAGACCCAATGGCTTATACCCATAATCCTAGCCTATCAGGGGGCTGAGATCTGAGGATCATGGGTTGAAGCCATCCTGGGAAGGAAAGTCTGTAAGACACTTAACTCTGCTGAGCCACCACCAAAAAGTCAAATGTGGAGCTGTGGTTCAAGTGATAGAGCACTAGCTTTGAGTGAAAAAGCTAAAGGACAGTATCTAGAACCTGAGTTCAAGCCCCAGTAACAGCACCACCCCCCCAAAAAAAAGGAGGAGGAGGAGGAGGAGGAGATGGATTTGAGTGGTTATAATACAATAGTTTACTTGTACACATTTTCTTTAAAAAGTTCCAGATCCAGCTTTAAATATGGAGCTGATTGTAGTCAGATCTACCCGGTCCAGTCTGCTTGTTTGAATTGGAACTGGTCTGAACAAAAATCCAGTTCCTTTTCTTGCTGCATGCAGTCAGAAGTTGCCTGAGAGGCGGAGGCAGAGAGCTGTTTGTCCTTCCTTCACGCCTCCTCCTCAGCCCCTGCACAGACAGACAGACAGACGCAGTGGTGCCTTACACGTCGCCTGGAGCCAGCTCCTTCCAAGTTCCCTTTCTTTTCTCTTCATTTTCCCAGATGTTTGGAATCTATTTTGTTTTGCAGTCATTCTTCACCCCAGCCAAACCCATTTCAATATTGGCTCTGGACCACAGCTTATAATAAAAGCCTGATGAATATGGCTTACAGAAAGTCGGGTTCCCATCACAGGATGGTGGTGTGTACATTCTCCTCCTCCACTGACTAGTGTGTAAACTGCTTTCCTTAACCATCTGCCTCAGAGTGCCAGGGAACATTGGCACCTTGGTCTTTGAAGTCTTTTTCTGAAGCCCCAGAAGAGTGACCCAGGAAATCAAGTGGTCAGACCCCAGGAGGAACTTACAATCCTCTTGTAATGGGCTGAAGACATTAGCCTAGGCCCACAGGTCGAGCCCTGGGAGTGTCTTTGCTAGCCTTTTCGCCCTGGCTCAATTCACTTAGGGAATGAAGAGTGAAAGGTTAAAAAAATGAGTACTGGTTTTCAGTGTGGAAGGGAAATAGTTCAAAATGCCCCCCCCCCCCCCCCCCCGCCGCCAGTGGAAATGAGCCAGGCAAAAACCTATCTGCTTTTGATAATTGAGGCTGAAGTTTGAGGGGGGGCACCCCTTTATGAGGCAGAAACACTTAGGGCTTATTTCTGAACTCTCCCTCTCCTCAGGCCTACCAGGACAGCAGCCCCTGGACCTAGTGTGTCAGCAAAGTGCTGGGAAGAGGTTCTTGGGGATGTCAGAAGCCCTTTTCCTGGGGGTCCACCCAGCCAGCACACCCCGTCCTGTGCCGCTTTACTGCGTCACAGACGCCTGGCAGAGAGGCAGGGCAGCCTAACCAGCGGGTGCGGCCCCTTCCCAGAACAGTCCTGCCCTGGTCCTGTCTCCTGGGCCAAGCAGAGTAAGGTTTCAGCCCGGCACTCTGCTCTGGGAGGAGGCCAGAAATGGCGAGGCTCAGGCCTCTTACCTCCAGCTGGCACCGGGGCCTCCAGCCACAGCAGATAGCCTCTGCTCAGCCCAGGCCTCTGCAAGGCCGCCTGTGAGCTGCGTCACCCCGGGGTTGAAATGCACACAAAGTGCTTTGGGGAAAAGAAAACGTGTGGTACGCCTTTAGTGTTTTTCCAGTAATTGTTCCACGGCTAGCTGTACTCCTTCCTCGTAAGATTTTCCAAAATAAGACCGTAGATGGGAATTCTATCAGCACACTGGGAGCTGGAGGCATGTGGACTTGTTGGTGTTTCATGCACATGCCCGCCATCAGACAGACACGCGTCATCGTGGCCTGAAGGACTGCCCCCCACCTCCAGATTGGATGAGAGGTTGCAGGTGCCCATTGGCCCAGATAAGAACCAAGGAAAGCAGCTCTGCCTTTCTAAGGCAAAGGCTTGTCCCTCTTAACTGGTGGGCCTCACGGACCTGGGCTTGACTTTATATATTTAACGCTTATTGTGTGCTGGTACTAAGGCTTGAACTCAGGGTCTGGGTGCTTCCTTTAGCTTTTTCACTCAAGGCTGATGCTCCACTACTTGCCACACCTCCACTTCTGGCTTTTTAGTGGATAATTGGAAGTAAGGGTCTCACTGAGTTTCCTGCCCCTGCTGGCGTTGAACTGTGATCCTCCTATCTCAGCCTCCTGAGGAGCTAGGATTACAGGTGTGAGCCACTAGTGCACAGCTGTATTTAACTCTTTTTGTAAAGGCCCTCCTTCTTCTTCCTCCTAAGAGCCCTTGACTTGCTGAAGCTTTGGCCTGGTAATTTTAGGAATCCAAATCTGATCTCGCGTGGGGCAATGTCTAACATGGTGAGATTCTCTTTTGGCTTTGGTAAGGCACCGTATCACGAAAGCCGGAAATGGTATACTGATGTCTTAAATCCCGTCTCTTCCTGTTTATTTTTTTTTTCTTTTCAGGAGACAGACAGTGACCAGCACTCCCTGCTGGATTGAGCTACACCTGAATGGGCCTTTGCAGTGGCTTGATAAGGTCCTTACCCAGATGGGATCCCCCAGCATCCGCTGTTCGAGTGTGTCTTAGAGACCCCTGGATGTGAAGGGGAGGGAGAAAGGGCAGGCATGGGGGAAAACCGCCATGGAAGAGATGGAGAAATTCAGCACCCGTTCAACTTATTCTCATCAAGGAAGAAAATTCTCTCTCTCAACTAAGGTGGCACAGGCCTGTTCTCTAAAACACAGAAGCAAACCCAGAAATGGGCTTTCATGGACAGCTATGTGTGCTGAATACATGTGCCCTACACTCTGGTTTTGTAGGGCAAGAAATGGCTTCTGCTGACTTGAGCCAACAGGTAGCAGTTTCTCCACTGCCCCTCCCCCAGCCTTCTCTTTTAATGACAGTCGTGTGGGATGTCACCATGTCACCAGCTACCAAGCCCTGTCCTGGATTGCATGTAGAATTCAACCTTGGAGAGTTGTCCTAAACTCTTTGGCACTTCTGACAAATGTCTTCTCCACTAAGCAGGCGTGGTGCGGCCCTCCCTACCCTTGGCAGTGTTGTGCACCTGGTGAACATGGTGGTTTGGGTAAAGGAGGACTTGTCTGGCTCTCTCCCCTCAGAACAGCACAGCAAATGTGTTCAGCACAGCAAGTGTGTTCAGCAGTGTGTGCAACCGTGGTAAAAGTTGGTGACAGCCATCTCTCTTCTCAAAATGCCCTTTTCCTTTCTCGGTTGGCTTAGTGTCTAGGGTCCTAGGTTCACATTAATCTCAAGATTTGGAGGATGGTAACAGTTCACACAAAGTGTGGGCCGTGGTGGCGGGAGCCATGGGCCAGAGGCAGCAACCACCGAGGGCATCTTGGACGGTCTTCAAGCTCACACCGTATTCTCATGTATGTGGCTCTGGCGAGTTTCTGTAGCCAGCTGCCTTCATTAAATCAACTGTATCATATGCTGTTTTTTAAGTGTTTATATTATAAACAAAATAGGCACCCCTCAGCACCTTGACTGGGGAAATTAAGAGTCAGATCAGTAACTCTTGTCTTCCCAAGGTGAGGCATTTCCAGGTTCTGAAGAGAGACAGTTGGCAGCACTTTGGGAAACTGAAATTTTATTTTTTTAATTCTAATTTTATTTCTGTGCTAGTACTGGGTCTGGGCACTGTCCTTTCGTTTTTCTTGCTCAAGCCTGGCGCTCTACCACCTGAGCCACAGATCCACTTCTGGTATTCTGGTAGTTCATTGAAGACAAGAATCTTAACAGACTTTCCTGCTCGGGTTGGCTTGGAACCATGGTCCTCGGATTTCAGCCTCCTGAGTAGTTAGGATGACAGGAGTGAACCATTGGTGTCCCCAGGATGGGACTAGCAACTCTTCTCTCCCCAAGTTGAGGCTTTTCCAGGTTCTGCCAGCACTTTTGGAAGCTAAAATTTACAGAAGCAAACTCACCAGAAGGGAAAGAGCTCAGGTGAATGAAAAGGGCTATTAAAGAAAAAAACCAAAAAACACTTATTTCACCTTTGAAAACGTTGGGCATGGTACAAAAGGGACCTGTCATCTTCACCCTGGGATGTAGTTCTCTTGCTTCTGGTAGAGAATCATCAGTGACAACTATTGTTATAAGCACTGCTCCCAGTGGTAATTAAGGGAGAAAACTAGTATAAATTATTTCAACTGGAAAAACAAAAATAAAAAGGAGACCTCTCCTTTTCCTGGCCTTCAGCAGAATACAGCACACAGGATTGCTTCTTCTTTGCTGCTGTTTGTGTGAATTGAATGATTTATCCCACATTTTTTTGGAAAGGGGGGGGAGGCATGGATTTATCCCAGGAAAAAGGACTTCACAGGATTTCCTATGAAGTCCTATCTTATTCTAGGGGAAGGAAGGAATGTGTATACTTTTCAACAGGTTTGGAAACCTCCAATGTGATGACATTGCTGATGCTCTATGAAGATGCTGGGGAACATTAACTGGGGGAGATTTCTGGTTAGCAGAGCTGCTCCCCAACCCTCTGGAATAGCCAGGAAGAGAAGGAAGGAATCCCTTACCCAACTCTCCTGAGTCTCCCTGAAGGCTGCCAATACACGTTCTCTGAGAGGTCTAATGCCCCAGAGTGTGAGGTTTCAGCTTGCCTTGGAATGGTCTGTGGACTGTTTGCAGATTAGGGACCCCCCCCTGGACATTCACACCCCCCAGTCAGCTCTGAGATCTGGGGCAGAATTCCAATGGTGGCTCTGTCTCTGTTCTAAAAGCCAAGGGCAATGGTTTCTGAGTGGCTTGATTTCTGCATCTGCTACAGGGTCTTTCCCAGAAGGCTTCCGTGGCACACTTGCTATAGCCCACTGGGTGGCCCAGTGTGGCTGAATGTGGATGGTGTCTTTCCATTTTCAATGCTCAAACTGTTGGCCTGTTTCAAAGGGGCCTGAAGTTGAGGGTGCCTCAACTAGCTTCAAGGCTATTTCTTAACCATTTTTCCTTTGCAAGCTATCCAAGGAGGATGTGAAGAAATGGTAGGCAGGTTTCTCCCTTTGGCAACCCTGAAATTTAATTTGGGCATGAGGTTAGAAGGTGGTGCTATTTCTGTCATGGACCACAACATAGGTCTTTTAGGACCAAGTACTATCATTGGCCTTCTTAAGTCATAAAACCAGTTTTCTTAGTTTAAAATCCTGTATGAATGACACTTATTCATGTAAAACAAAAGGACAATTGAAAAGGAAAAGAGGAAATTGGGACAGTTTCAAACAGATCGTTCAGCAGTTTTGTTATGTGCTGGTACTAGGGCTTGAACTCAGTGTTATGCACTGTCCCTTATGTTTTTTCCTCAAGGCTGGAGCTCTACCACTTGAGCCACACCTCCGTTTCTAGCTTTTTTTGGGTGATTAATTGGAAAGTTTCAGACTTTTCTGTCTGGGTTGGCTTTAAACCTTGATCCTCAGATCTCAGCTTCCTGAATAGCTAGCTAGGTGTGAGTCACCAGCATCCAACTCAGTCATTTTAAGCATGGTGTGATCCTGTGTGCTGTCTCCTGCCCCAGGCTTCTGCCCAGTATCTTCATCTTGTGGCTTGTGCTGACACTAAACCATATCCCTAGCACTGGGCAGAGAACCTTGTTCTCAGCACCTCTCCAAGAGCCAACTGTCTCTTTCCTGTTCTCTGCCCCTTCCTTCCCAAGTTAATTTCATCACTCAAACCCGTCCAGTGTGTACGCAGGTAGCGGCCCAAGTCGGTGTGGGTTACGGGCCTGTGCTGGCACCTCACCTCAGCTGACAACCTTCCCAGCTGGGCTGCAGACAGCCTGGCATTTCCAGACAAGCCTGAAGTCAGAAGCAGGGACAGTGACCTTTATGAAGAGCCTACAAGGGTGAGACCTCTGGCAGGCTTCTCCATTGACCTGATGGTGTCTCAGGCTGTGATTCTTTTCTGAAACTGTTAATGGGCTGAAGGAAGCTATAGCATATTTTGTGTGCTTTGGTTTGTCTTCATCTCCCCCTTGGCTTCCTCATTTGGACCTATTCCAGAGATACTTTTTTTCCCCTCAGATCACAAGTTTTCTATAAGTGGTATGAGTGTGTGGCACACATGTGTGAGCTGTCTGGTTTCACACTGAGTCCTGGAGCTGCCATTCCTGAGGCTCCAGGACTGTCTCCTTAATCCTTAAAAGGAGAGACTGGCCAAGAGAACTGCAGGCTGCTATGGGCTTGTTTACCAAGGAGGCTGCTGGAGATGGCAGAGATCTAGCTCTGGCCTGTTCTGCCTGAAATTGGGTTTCTTCGCTTCTGCATGTCTCCATCCAGGAGAAAACTTAACAACAGCCAGGTTGGCGCTGTTTCTCTATGTGGCACCCTTCAAGTCATGTCTGCACAATGGACGGAGTCGCTTAAGGAGCGCCAGACACTTCCCAAATGGACAAAAGGCAAATGTCTGTTAGAGAAGTTATCTGTGATGGGAGGTGAGGTGTGGCCATCAGAGGAGATGGCAGAACACACAGACACCTCTGTTCAAACAACCTCGTAAGACTCACCTCACGTGTAAACTGGATTGACACTCAAGTGACCCTGTAATTGATCTTTTTTTTTTTAAAGTGTTGCTGTATACTCTAGCATCCTGGTGTTTTTATATATTTATGTAATAATTTCTTAAAACCATCCTGACAGATAACTATTTAATTTTTTTTAAGACAGTTGGGAAGACCTCCTAAGGGCAGTGGCTGGAAGAGCTTTGCAGAGCTGGTTCTGAGTGTTTGGTGGAGGGTGTAAAGGCACTTTTTTTTTTTTTTGGCCTAGCATCCAAAACACCAGACCAGGCTGAGCCAAGTGGCAGTGCGTAGACACGCATGGTTCTGAATGGAAGCAAAGCCCCTCTCTCCCTGGGGTCCCAACTTCACTGAAGTGGAGCTGTCTTTAGCCAAGTTGCCCTCAAATAGCCCTTCCTGTCGTCATGGTAGACAGGCTGATATAGACTCTTACGTTTTGTGTTGGGGGCAGGATGAGAATGTGGGAATTGTGGATAACCCTCACTATTCAGCCAGCTTGGCCTTTGGATACCTTTGTAAAAAGCATGTATGTATTTATAGTGTTTTAGATTTTTCTAACTTTTGTATTTTAAAAGCAGAGCACCTGTTTGTCTAAGCATCTTACCCCAACTGTTAAAGAGTTGCATCCTCTTCCCCCACCCCCACCCCCCACCTCTTCCTCTTGTAAGTGCCCTTCTAATAAACGTCATTGGAAAGCTTCTGGGTCTGGAGCTCAGCCTGTGTCTTTTTTTGGTGCTGGTACTGGGGCTTGAACTTAGGGCTTAGGCCCTGTCCCTTTTCTATTTAAGGCTAGTGATCTACCTTTTGAGCCACAGTGATACTTTCAGCCTTTGTTGCCCCGCATTGTATTTTTTACCCCTGGCTTCTTTTACTTACACTCTTCCCCCAGCCCCAGCACAAGGCTTCGTGCTTGTTTAGTTTCTTGCTCAGCTGGTGTTCTACTACTTGAGCCACACACTTCCAACCCTGCTTTTGGTTGGTTATTGGAGACGGATGGCTTGCAGACATCTCTGCCCAAGTTGGCATCAAACTATGATCCTCTACATCTCAGTCTCCTTAATTGCTAGTATAGGCTTGAGCCACTGGGGCCTGGCTCCCTTTCCATCTTTTTTTTTTGCTGAATAAATGAACCATCAATGTCTGGTCTGGTGAATTCTACCTTAGCCAATACTGTGTGTTAATTTCCACTCTGCTTGGATTTTTAAGTCCTTTTATATAATTAGAGGAATGTCATCAAAATGCAACTCCTGGTTGCCTTTTATTAGGGCTATTCCAAAATTTGAATGTGTTCCCCTTTAGTGCAGGAATAGCAAATTGTGCCCAAATTACCATAATTATCTGTATTGCTGCTTATGACAAAACTCATGAATCACAGTGATAGATCATGTCTGCCTACCTCCCCATCCAACCCTCTGAACTCAGCTACCTGATCAGGCAGACACTTGACAATGCTACCAAAACAGTGAGGCTACATGAAGTCCTCCAAAGGGGAGAAGGCCTCTGCCTGGGCCTTAGGTTGTTCAAGTTCATGTCACAAGGATGGATGGAAGGAAGGAAGGAGAGAGGGAGTGAAGGAGGGAGGGAGAAAGGGAGGGAGGGAAGGAAATGAAGAGAAGGAAGGAAATAATTTTAGGACACATCAAGACCAAGAAAGTTTAGTAAAGAAGACAGAAAAGCACAATATCTACCCAAGCACGAGTTCAGGCAAATCTGGTAACAGATGCAATCAATATTCAGATATTTATGGTGAAAAAGTGAGCTGGGGGTTTGACCGAAAGTCATGTTGGGAAAAATTAACCCCTTTATTCTTCTTTCTGTTACAGTTTTATCATTTGGTCTGTTTATCAAACTTGGGTCAATAAGACACCAGTATCTGAGCATTTCTTTAAAAAACTGGTTCTACCAGGTGCTGTCTTCAAGAGAAGTGACTATCTCGGAGACGCTTTCCTTTGTAAATATTTTTATGATCAGACTTACTTCCCAAATGGTTTTTCTCACGATGTGAGTCTTTTAAGATATTCTTGTTCATATCCCAGAATATATTATCTGGGTAAGTAGGCGAGGCCAAGGGAGAACTACTCTCTTTTGTACTATAGTTGCTGCTCGGTGAGGAAGTGTGAAGCATTAAAGCCAAGACAGCAATGTCTGACTTTTTAGTCAAGCTGTTGGGTTAACATAGTGTTTCTCTGTGAATTCCTGGCTCCTGTGTCCTTGCCTCATTTTCCCTGATCTACCCTGCCTCAAAAGCCTGCTGCTATATCTTCCCAGAATGTGATTGTGTGTGTATGGGGGTAAGGGCTGCCTTTCTGCGCAAAACCCTTTGGCTCTTCAGTCAAGCCCTTGTGGAGCAGGTGCAAACTCTACATGGTGTTTCAAGGTCTTCCTCCGATCAACCTTTCAACAATTGGAGGTCTCCTAATGTACCTACTGCTTTCTGATTGCCGTAACTGTTCATATCATGACTTTCCACTTACTCATCTGCCCAACTTTTCCCTCTATCCTTTCAGCTCCACTCAAGCATTACTTCCCCTCAGTCTCTAGTTCTGGGTTGTGTCCTTGATTCAGTATCACTTGAGTCTAGAAGTGCAAATGATCAGGCCCCGCCCCAAACTAATCAGAAACCTCTGGGTGTCTCGATATGGGTTCATTTGAGAACCACTACTCATGCTCTGTGCTCAGTACCCGATTCTTGTTATCCCATAGTCACTCTACTTTGCACATACTGCCTGGCTTCCTGTCCTGTGACCTTGGCTGGCATGTCTCCTACTCCCACCTCAGTTGGACTCTGAGCTCCCTGCAAAGAGAAACTATATGCTCAAGTCTATATCCTCTGCCATGATCACTCTGAGTCTGGCGCAAGCTTCACAGTATTGGCTGACCCCTGGTTTCTTGTTCTAAGCCATCTTACTATTACTATGACATCCTGGGAAGTTTTTAGGGAAGCACAAGTGGTACAGGCCATGACCTTGAACTTCAGATTAAAAAAAAAGAATCTTGGCCAGGTGCTGGTGGCTCATGCCTGTTATCCTAACTACTCAGGAGGCTGAGATCTGAGGATCAAGGTTTGAAGCCAGCCCACGCAGGAAAGTCCATGCAACTGCCATCTCCAATTAACCACCAGAAAACCAAAAGTGGCACTGTGACTCAAAGTGGTAGGCTACTAGCCTTGAGTAGAGACAGTTCAGACAGCACCCACGCCCTGAGTTCCAGCCCCATGATTGACAACAAAACAAAACAAAAATGCTCTTTTCCAAACACTGTTTCCTTCAAGCACCTTTCCCTGGCTCACTGAGCTTGAGTCTTTACCGCATGAAAGCCTCCTGCTTGATAACAGCAACAATCGTTAGTCATTTCATCAGACAGTAGCTGGGGCCATCCTTGCTAGAAGCTGTTTTGTGGGGTGGGGGGCTTTATATGACCTGCTGTGTTGCTCAAGTTCTTTGTTAAAGGCAGAGAGTATTTGGGCCATTAATAGGCAATACATAATTGCGGCTCAAGCCTGTAATTCCAGCACTCAGGAAGCTAAGGCAAATGGATCTCTAGTTCAAGCCCAGTCTGGCTAAATAGCGAGACTGTCTCAAAAAAAAATCCAGATACCACACAAGGGTTGTAGAAAAATGTTCTTTTCTTTTCCCCCAAGCCTGTGTTCCAAGGATGTAGTAATAACTATTATGGCCAGGCTCTGAGTCAATACTTGCCCGAAAGGAAACAAAGTAGAACTGTAAATCACTGAAGAGTTGGAATGGGGCTCAGTAATGTTCCGAGAACAGGCCCCAAATACTGCTGTTTCTGCTTCAGTTGTGGAAAAGAAAAACTATAGGGGGTGATCCTGCAAACCAGAGGAACTAAACTTAGAACCAAGCAAGATACTTGTGACACTAAAAGAACTAGCTCTGAGAAAAGTTCACAAAGAACAAGACCTGTGGTGTTTGTAAACGCCTAAGCAATGGCAAAATCTGAAACCCAGAAAACTTCTAAGTCCCTCCTGCAAGTGGAATCCAAACCCCAAACCTGAATTCTGCTCATCTGATTTAGATGTAACATACAAATTACAGGGAAAAGTTCAATAGGGTGTTATTTTCAAACCAAGCTAAGCTACTGGGTTCAGGGCACTTTTTCTACCTATAGCCAGTCCTCCAATAAGATTTGTATTTAATGATTCAATGCTGGAGTTCAACTGTCAAATATAAGGTAGAGGGTGTGAAGAATAAATCTCCCATCAGAACCTTCACTGAAGCTTATCTACATCCATTAGATGTCTGATGAATCAGAACCCTGACCACACCAGATACATGTTTGCTAAATTTAGTTTTGCATTAGCAAACACTCAAGCTCAGAATAGTCCACAGAGCTCTCATCTTACCCTTAGACAGTGGTTCTCCTAAGACTGTTTTCTACCCTGGCCAAACTGGCTAAGGCAGGGAAAAGGGTACTGCAGCTCTAAGCCATTGTTAGAGGCTGGCCCAATGCTACAGGAAGCTGACAAGCCATGCAAAAAAAAACCCAAACCAAATCAAACCATACTGAAAAACATTTATCCCCACCTCTCCACAATGGGAGCATGAAATTAGCCATGGATCCCATTTCACGTGTTAGAAGTCGTCTGCAGGAGTGGCCTGACGCCTTCCATGGTCCTTGAACCACATCCCACATTACTCAGCCAAAGTAAGTCTAGCTTCCCTGAACCTCTAGCTTCTCTCAAACCGATGTGGCCAACATCTATAAATAGAGCAAACAAACTGGTTCTGTCAATCTTCTCGTACTCTGGCAGGACAGTGTATTTTACAATTATAAAAATATGTATGTCTTCATCACTATAAAATTATTACATAACCCATGACTTTCTCTAGGGGAAGAGGTTTATTCATGTCTCTCTGTACCTTCCAATATTTGTGGATCTTCAGACTTGGTTATATTCACAAAACATGAACCATACCTTCCAAATGAACTTAAGGGAGACTATTGTGTGTCAAGCACTGTGCTAGGCACACAGAGAAATGTTTGAAAGAAAACATGCCTTCTTACCTTAAATCCAAGCTGGAAGCCAGGTGCTGGTGGCTCACACCTGAATCCTAGCTACTCAGGAGACAGATCTGAGGATTGTGTTCAAAGCCAACCCAGGCAGACAAAACCGTGAGACTGTTAACTCCAATTTACCAACAATAAAAACACAAGCAGAGGTATGGCTCAGGGCCAGCTTTGAGCAGAAAAGCTAAGGAATAACACACAGGCCCTGGTTTCAGGACCCAGTTGTGTTTGGTTTTTTTTTTAAATCCAAGCTGGATGGGTTAAATTTGTATGACGTGCACAGGTCACTTTAGAGAGGCTGCAATGGTTACTAAATCGCTCTGGCTCAAGATCACTCTTCTGAACATGGGCTATTAGCATACACTAGTGGTCTAGATTCCCTCATTCTTCCCTGAGGTGTCCCCCCAGAAAGCTGAGGTCTTGAAACTGCTTAGTAGATGCCGGGAGCCAGTGACTCACACCTGTAATCCTAGCTACTCAGGAGGCTGAGATCTGAGGATTTCAGTTCAAAGCCACCCAGGCAGGAAAGTCCATCAGACTCTTATCTCCAATTAACCACCAGAAAATGGGAAGTGGCGCTGTGGCTCATGTGGCAGAGTACTAGCCTTGAGCTGAAAAGCTCAGGGACAGCGCCCAGACTCAGAGTTCAAGACTCACAACCAACAACAACAACAATAAAAATATGAGGGGACTAGAACTAGTGAGTTTCACAATCTGGTTACCTCCACTGTATATATCTAATCCTTTGGAGGCTTCTCCCACCCCACCCTCTACCAGAAAACAACAGAAGCAAAATAATACACATCAGCAGGCTTTACAAATTAAGTCACATTTTAATTTGGCAAATCTACCAAATCAAGTTCACAGCTATTTTTTTTTTTAGGCTGTTTCTCCCAACCATGTGACCTAATACATTCTCTAAAGTCTTCCGTGTTTTAAGGAAAGCATGTTCCACCTTTCTGGTTAACCCAGAGCCAAAATTTATCAACTTAGAGAAACACAGTCATCTCTGAGATATCAATCAACTGACAGAACAATGGAGAACCTGACCAGACCTTGGTGGGGAGGGGCAAAGGCCATCCCATTGCTACCAGGCATGCTTAGCCACTGAATGGCCACCTCCATATGGCTCTGGAAGCCCCACTCCCACACACCTGTCTCAGGTGCCGCCACAGTGATTGTCATGGGGTGCCCAGAGCAGGTGTGGAGCTTACTTCTGCTCGTGGTCTATCTACCCTGGGTCTCTCCCTGCTAAGAGAATGGGTTCAGAGCCTACACAAGGCCAGAACCAGTTCTCAGCCTGTGTGCCAGCACCATCCATTTATGAAGCCGGGCCTGGTTAGAGCCAAAGCAGTAACTACCACAAAGGAGGTAACGACTTGCATTACAAGTGTCACCTGAGATGGAAACAAGGATTTTATTTGTGGCACTTTCTACTGGTCTTTAACGTTTTTCCTTTTTGAGATGAGTTTCTCTGGGGCTGACCCAAACAGGACACAGGGTAAAGAACCAAGGGGACTCCCTCGGGGGCAGCGCTGAAAGGCAGAGAGCAGCCAGCAGCCCTGGGAGTAAAATGAGGTGCTCAAGATTGTGCTGCCTAGCGTGACACGCCCCCTCCCACCGCTCTGTGCCGCTATTTTGGCAATCATCTCTGTTTGGCTTTCAGACAGGAAGAGGGGACACTTGCCTAGTGCTCAGGACTTCAAGTGTGACGGCACAGCTCTGACATCTCAAATGGTCAAGGAGAAGGCTCAGGCAGGCAAGGTCTTCACCATAATTTCACCACAAGCTCAGTAATGAGTGCTCAGTGTTTCCCCAAGGATACCCCCTGGGTCTTCTCTCTCTCACTCCCAGCCCTCCGCCCTTGCAGCAACTCAGTAGAGGGTTTGTTTTATCCCCACCACAGCAGGAAACCTTTGCCTCACTTTACAGGCTAAAAATACACAGTGGTTTTTCAATTCTTTGTAGCCTGAGCTCAGACACTTCAAAAGAAATGCCCAAAGCATTGTTTTGGTTGGAGACAAATCTGTGGGCCACTGAGTTTGGCTGCCTCACACCTCCTTTATTCCCCCCAAAGCGTCACAGCTCAAGGTGCAATCTCCGTGCATGGGAACCAAATCTCCCACCAAGGAAAAACTGCCCACAGTTGTTCGCAATTAAATGCGAATGTGGGAATGCTAAAAAAAAGCTGGCAGGAATGACTGGAATGAACTCGCAGACCTCCGAGATTCATTCTACTCCCATTCCTAAAACAAAAACAGCATTTGAGAAACTTTCACGTTATTCTCAGTTATTCTCATCGCGTATACTTCTCATTCCCTTCCGCTGAAACAGAAAAGATTTTTAATTCCCTATTCAAGGCTAAAATCAAGGGGCCCCTAAAAACTAGGCAGGCGGCCAACATGTGAGTAGAATCTTGGCCAATTATGACTGGCTTGAGTAGGGCAGAGTCCCAGGTGAAGAATGCTGAGCATCTGTTAGTCAAACCTAGCAGAGATAACTTAGTGCTCTTCATCAGAAGAAAGGCCCTCAATTTCATCTCTGTCTCCCCCGATTGCCATCCAGAATGCTTTGGCCACCTGTGGAGAGAAGTATGCAACAAGTTTTAGGCAACATCTGCTTCCTAATTTTTGGCTCATTTCATACATCACACCTTGAGCTCAATGAAGTCTAAAAGTCTCCAGTTTGCCCTCCAGCAACATGTATCAAAACCCTTAAGTACCTTTGACCCAGGATGTCCACATCTGCAGCATTACTAGAGACATGGTTAGAGTTACATACAAATAAGATGGGTAAGGACATGCATAGCTCCATTACAAAGCATCAAGAAAACACATATTATGGTCCTAAATGTCTAAAAATGAACTAGATAAATTTCAACAATCATTCACTAACAGCATAAGTTTCCTGTCAAGAATACGTGCTACTATGGTAATAATAAAACACAGCAACTAAGAGTGGTCCAGCTCAAGAGTCAGAAAGTCAGACAGCTTTCTCAATGAAGCTCTCAGTATGAGTTAACATACATTTGAGACATCTTAGTTTGATTTCCGTAACTGTATTACTGCTGTGTTTGACTAGGTCTAAGTTACTGTCCAATGAAAAGCTCATGCAAAAAGGCTTCAGAAGTACACACATGTGATAGGTAATTATATTATGAAAGCACTGGGGCTTTTGTAGATACTCAATAAATACCTGACTGATTATCTCACCTTTTCTGCATGCAACTTTCTTTGCTCATGAGGAAGCGTCGCAGCTTTGTCTAGGGGAAAAATATATCTTAAGAAATTCGTCTAATAGCAACTGAGAGTCTGGAATGTATGGATGTTCTAACACTAGAAGACGGGAGATGGGTTTCAAAGACACAGGCTTATGGCATAATCATTGCAGCTATTAAGAAGCTCAGTCTCCCAAATTTGCCAGATAGGAATGATGTGAATAAAATGGTAGGGTCTTACAGATGCTGTGTTAATGAGATGCTGAAAGAAAGAGGGAGGGGGACTCAAGAAGAAGGGAAAGGAAGAGGAGAGAGAATGAAGAAAGGGAATTTTCCCTGGGAGATTTTTTTTTTTTTTTAAACAACAGAGGATGAGACCGTCCCAAGTAGGAAAGTTTTCTAAGACATTTGAAACGAGAACTCAGAATCCAATCTAGCAGTTGCAGAATAAGATCCCACTACAGAAAATAAATGGATATCAAGATGCAAATAGGTTTGACACATGGAACTGATTACCTTTCATTTCCTTTAACTTTGAAAATAGTCTCTCAAAATTCTCCAAATCTCCCCCTCCAGTGGTAAGACTGGCTAATTCTTGAATATCCAGATCTAACATGGGATCTGAAATAACAATTTGTCACAAGTTATTTATATATGTGCATTATATACACATATACATATATGTATATCTATATACATAAACACATATATAAACACACACATATATGTTATGGCTTTTTTGGTAACTCAGTGGAGATAAAAGTCTCATGGGCCCAGTACTGGTGGCTCACACCTATAATTCTAGCTACTTAGGAGGCTGAGATCTAAGGATTATGGTTCAAAGCCAGCCAGGGCAGAAAAGTCCCTGAAACTCTTATCTTCAATAGACTAAGAAGTGGCACTGTGGCTTAAGTGGCAGAGTGCTATCCTTGAGGAGAGGAAGTTTAGGAGCAGTGCCCAAGCCATGAGTTCAAGCCCAAAGACAAGCCAAAAAAAAAAAAAAAAAGTCTCATTGACTTCCCTGCCTGGGCTGGCTCAGAACTTGGGATCCTGAGTAGCTAGGATAACAGGTATGGAGCCACTGGCTCCAGCCCAGCACCTTTGGAGTGTCCTGTCCTCCTTGACCATCCCAGGTCCCAGGCCCCCTTCCTGAGAGTACCTTCCACACTGACAGTTCATGATGGTGTCCCAGCACCTGCATAGGATCCACCTTTAACACTTCCCCACTGCTTCTGAGAACAATGAGCAATGAAAATGGGTTGAATACCTGCACCATTGACTGCTCTAACTTCATCTTTACAACGACCCAGGAGGACAGACTTGTTATCTCTCCTTTACAGAAGAGGAAACTACTAAAGGCAGCAGAATGTACTCAGGTCATATCTACTAGCAGTAGAGCCACAATTTGAGCCCATAATCTTAGTTACATCAAACTCTAGAGCTCATGACCTTGACTGCAAGTCCTCTCTTTAGACTTGGACTATGAGTTCCTAGATGACAAAGGTGATAACAATTCTTTGCATCTTACCACAATGCCATACAGATAATTTGGCATTTAACATGCATTCTGGTTAATAATGCAGAACTCAAGCTAAAATTTGTAGTAATTAAGTTGTAGCTGGTACTAGAATTTGAACTCTAGGCCTCAGCTTGCTTCCTCAGCTGCCACTTGAGCCATGCCTCCAGCTGAGATTTTCTTTTTCTGGAGGTAAGAGTCTCACAACTTTTCTGCCTAGGCTGGCCTTGAACTTCTATCTTCTGGATCTCAGCCTACTAAGATGTAAACCACTGTCACATGGCTCTTGTTCTTATTAGAGAATGTTTTTTAGAAATCAAGATCTGAGTGCTAAGCATATTCACTGCCATTGGGTACTGCTGCTACCGGATTGCTCAGTGGACAAACTGAGATATATGTGTGTGTATATACTAATACATGCACTCTCACTTTCTATATGCATGTCCCTATTGCCCTAATTATAGGGCACATTTTAAAAAAAAATTAGCAATTTTTTATTGTGATTAAGTGATTACATAAATTTCATAGTATTGTAGGGTAGCGATACTTAGTTAAAGTAACAAACGCATTCTAACCTTCATGGGGCAAATTGTCTTTATCATGGTCTATAAAGTTTATGAGTTCTATGAGCTTTGACAACACAGTTATTTCTTCCACGTCGGGTGATATGTACATTTCTTTCCTTTTGCTTAGTTCAGCTGTTCTATAGGGCATATTTTTAAGAAGAATGAATTCATACATATAGATTCCAGTATCAAAGGGTCCATTCTTGCCTTCCCCTCTTTATTAGTAATTTCTTCCTCTGAAAATAAAGAAACCTACTTCATTATCTGGAATATATTTTCTTCTTTTTTTAACACTTACTGATTAATTTATTGGCTGTGCTGGTACTGGGACTTGAACTCAGGACCAGAGCCTAGGTGATGCCATTTAGCTTTCTGGCTCAAGGCAGGCACCCTACCACTTGAACCACAGCTCCATTTCTGGTTTTTTTTTTTTGCTGGTTAATTGGATATAAGAATCTCACAGACTTTCCTGCCTAGGCTGGCTTCAAAGCACAATCCTCGGCTCTCAGCTTCTTGAGTCGCTAGGATTACAGCTGTGAGCCACCAGTGCCTGGCTCAACAAATATTTATATATACTTTCAGAACTGCTAGCTGATGTCCCTATGAGAAAGAAATTTACTAATGAGAGTTCAGGATTCCCGCTGCTCCTCTGCTTTTAGGGTTAGGGTATCGAGTCTAGGAGATGTTTCTAAAGTTGCTTGGTTTGCTCCTGTCCTCACCATGCTCTCTTCTGTGTGGTTAATGATTTGTCTTAATGGCAGAAACTTCAGCAGGTTTTAAAATCCAATATCGTGAGGACTCAACTGAGATGTAAGGTTGAATAAAGTGAAGAGAGATTATATACATACAATTATTCACCTTTTATGTTTCTATAACAATCACCTGAGCTTTCTAAATGGATTATCTTATAACTAGAAAAAAAATTTTTAAAGTTATCACTGCATTTGAGCTGTAGGCAGCATAGCAATAAGCAGAAATATCAGCAGTTTCCCAGCAAAACAACAGGAGTCCTGGCTTTTGGAAACACACTGGATTCCAGTTTCAGCTCCCCGCGCTTCCTGTCATTGGGCAGGTTATTAAATTGCTCTAGCTTTCAAGGTCATCTCTGATAGAGCTGCTCCACTAAACATCATTAGCACATGAGAAAGTGGATGCACAAGAACTTTAAAAGGATGTGAGAGGGCCGAGAAAGGTGCATTATGCTTGTCACTGCCAATACGGACTATTAAATACTATGGAAAAAACCCAGTGATTACAGATACTAAAGCTGGACCTGGTTCTGCCATGACTAAGATGATCTGAATCAAGATGTGCTGAGGAAAATCAAGGAAGAACCAGCATCCACTCTGTTATGTATTTATTATTATTCCCTTATCTGACCACCATGGGCAAGGACTCACATTCACTTGGGATACACAGTCCATTTTCTTCCCTTCTCCATGGTTAAAGCCTGCACTCTCCGAACCCTCGCCCCCCCCTCCCCCCAAATTCCTGCCTGTTATTTGTTATCTCTGTGGCCATAGAAGGAGCTTACCCACAATGCTGTCCACCTGGGCTTCTGCTGTGCTACTTGCACCCCGCTGCCCCAGGACAGAGTCTGTGCTCTCTGATGCTGGCAAATGAGGCTGCTGGAAAGGAAAAGACACAGAAGCCACACATTAATAGTGGGCTACTGCAGAGATAATACAAAAAGACTCACACTGGCTGGCTAGAGAGAAGCAGCATACAGCTAAAGACAAGAGAGGAAAAGAAGGAGCAAGATCACATTTAAACATAAAAGGCACTCAAAGCTGGTGGCTCACACCTGTCATGCTAGCTACTCAGGAGGCTGAGAGCTGAGGATTGTGGGTGAAAGCCAGCTGGAGTGACTCTTACCTCCAATTCGCTACAAGAAAACTGGAAGTGGCGGTGAGGCTCAAGTGGTAGAGTACTTGCCTTGAGTGAAAAAGCTCAAGTGCAGCACCCAGGCCCTGAGTTCAAGCCTTACAACTGACAAAAAAAAAAAAAATCACTAATTGGTGAGTATTTTCCCCAGGGGGGAAAAAGGCTAAGAAGTGTTACAATTTTGCTACAGGCCATGAAAACATGGTTTTGTGTGCATACTTTAAGATCCATAGTGAAAATGCACATCCAACACAAGCAGCTTTCATCAGACGCTGATGGTAAAGACCCTTGCAAGGAGAGCATGACACAGCATTGCTCCTGGCTCTGGCACCGCTTCCGGCCCCAGCTTGCTAAGCCAGGTGAACCTGCACCTGAGACCTGAGCACAGATGGCAAGACAGCACTGTCAGCTCATGATGGCCCAACAGTTTGGGACAAGCCTTTATACCCAAGAAGTACTCAAAGTACGGCTACCAATTTTATTTCCTACTTAAGATCTGGCGCCCAAGTTTATGCTCCCTGGAAGCCCTGCTGTATTTCAAAAAGGTATCTAAGCAAAAAACACAGGCCAGCTCCAACTGCAGATCTCTTGAAAGGGCTGACTCCTTTTGCAGGGCTAAACTAGCCTTCTCTTAACCAGAGCCAGTGGTACAGGGCTATTTTACATTCTTCTGTCATCTACTTTTAATACTGCCTGCCTCTTAAGTAGAAAAGAAAAAAAAATAGAAGAAATAGAAGAAAAGCAAAAAAAAAAAAAAAAAATAGAAGAAAGTGTAAAGATTCATAATGGCAAGGAGAAATTAAAGCTAAAGAGGAGACAAGATCCAAGAAAATCTTTACCTCTGAGCGACAGGTCTCCACTGACCCAATGCTATGGTTTGTTCCAGCCAATGAGTTGAGAAGGCTAAAGCCCTGGTTCCTATCTGAAAAGAGAAGAAAAAAAACCCAAAAATCCAAAACAAAAAAACAGTCACCAAATCTTCTATTTACATTTTGCTTTTCTTTTCCCCCCCTAAGTAGTAGGGTTTGAATCCAGGGCCTCAAGCTTGACTATGCAAGCGCCAATCACCTGAGTTATGCCCACAGCTGTCATTTACATTTTAAGTTATTAAAATTAGCCTAATTACTGTAGCCTATGCCTATAATCTTAGCTACTTAGGGGGCTGTCTGTGAAGAGAGTCTGTGAGACTCTTCAATTAATTGGCAAAAAGCTGGTCAGGAGTCATGAGTAAAGTGGTACAGTACAAAAAGCCAAACGAGACACTGAGGCCTGGAATTCAAGTCACTGTATCAGCATACACACACACACACACACACACACACACACACACACACACACACACACACACACACACACACACACACACACACACACACACACACACACACACACACACACACACACACACACTCTTACTGTGATGATGAAACAAGGACTAACTCCTCATTAACGAAGTGCTAACTACAAAAAAAGCTATTTCTGGTTATCATACTATTATTGTTTGGACCTGAAATGCACCCTTAAGGGCATGAGAACTGGTCTCTAGCCAATGGCTCTAGGAGGTAGAGAACTTTTTTAAGAGGTGGTGTTTAGTGAGATGACATTAGTTCATTTGGGGAGCGGGGGACGCTGGAAGGGGTTACTAAGACTGGAGCCACCATGAGGTGAAGAGGCCATTTCCACCATGCAGTCTCTTACCATTATGTACTCTGGCACTACAGGCTCCAAGCAACAGGGCTGAGCAACCATGGACTGAAACCTCAGAATCAAGGAGCCAAAATAAACTCTCCTCCTTATTAGGTGACTATCTCCAGTATTTGTTATAGTAATACATAGACTCTTAATTCTGAATAATAGTTTAGTCACAGAATATTAGTCTAGATCAAAAATAACCCTTGTTGCGAGGCCACCCTGGCTAGGCACTTGTCACTCATATCTGTAATCCTAGCTACTTAGGAGGCAGAGATTGGGAGGACTGAGGGTTAAAGCCATCCCAGGCACAAATACGAAACTCCTCACTCAACTGTCATCTTAGCTACATGGGAAGTATACAGAGGGGATGACAGTCTAGGCTTGTTTCTCAAAAATAAAAAAGGCAGGGGCTGGGAAGGTGGCTCAGTGGTGGAGCGCTTGCCTTGCATGCATGAGGCCCTGGGTTCGATTCCTCAGCACCACATAAGCAAAAAGAAAAAAGCTGGAAGTGGCACTGTGGCTCAAGTGGTAGAGCGCTAGCCTTGAGCTGAAAAGCTGAGGGACAGCGCCCAGGCCCAGAGTTCAGGCCCCACGACCGGACCCAAAAAAATAAAAATAAATAAAAATGGCAAAAGTGTCTGGGAGTGTGGCTCAAGAGATAGATCCCCTGCCTAGCCTTAAGACTCTGAGGTTAATCCCTATGTACCACCAAAAAGAAGAAAGAGGGGGCTAGGAAGGTGGCTCAGTGGTAGAGTGCTTGCCTCACATGCATGAGGCCCTGGGTTTGATTGCCCCACGACTGACAAAAATAAATAAATAAAATAACAGAAGAGGCATTTTGCAGTGCTACTTACAAAGATCAATAGCACTGATATTTTAAGTTACTATGAGTTACTATGTGTTTTAAATAGTCAGAAACATTTTATTTATTTTTTTATTGTGAAAATACTGTATAGAGGGGTTACAATTACATGGATAAGATAAAAGCACATTTTTTATCAAGCATTGTAGCCTCCTCCTTTGTTTCCCCTTCCCATCCCTTCCCATCTCCCCACCAAAGTTGTAAAGTTCATTTTTTGACATAACGACTTGTACATCTCTTGTTGCAATGGGTCCTCCTGTATCCCTGTTTTAAAGATTTGTTTTTTCCCTTCCCCTCCACATACACCAACATCATATATAGTGAAAGCAGGGGTTATACCATGGGGGAGGGACATACAAAGCAACAAAGACATAATCTTATAAATATGTTAGAAACAATAGCATGAAAGATCTCTCTCTCTTTTTTTTTTTTTTTTTTTTGTCAGTCATGGGGCTTGAGCTCTAGGCCTGGGAGCTGTCCCTGAGCAATTCAGCTCAAGGCTCATGCAGTCAGAAGCATTTTAAAAAGTCAACTCGAGGCATCATTATCCAGTAAAAAGAACATGCATTCTATATGAAACAAAGCTCTAATCTTGATATAATGAGCCAACCACAGTAAAGGATTCTCAGCTGCTCCTAACATAGTAGAGGACAAATCTGAGCAGAATATCTGGGACTGATGAAAGCATCAAACCTTGGTCCAGTGTGGTTCCCTAAATCACCCCAGTACTCAAGGACTCTATTTGAGAGTCAGCATCTTAGGATAGGGGCCAAGGAACCTCAGCATCCACCAAGCACTCAGGGAAAAACTCAGGATCAGAGGTTTGAGAAACAGATCACAGTACAACCCAGAAGCAAGATCCCAAGAGGCTAACAGTAATCAAATCAAAGAACTCTAAAATCAAAAACAGAAACAAAATCAACCAACTTCCTCTCCTCTCCCTGGTCCGCTCTATCCCTTTCCTACATCCTCTTTCCCTGCATGTGAGTCTTCTTGTCACTCACTCATTCAGGCAAAACAAACCTTAGCCTTTCAAACAGGGATGAAACCCAAACTGGGACTGCTGGCCTTTAGCCTGAACTTTACTTCTCTCCTGAGGTAAGAAGTCAAGGAGGGAAGATGCAGCTATCAAGCCAGGGCTGCTACTTTCCATGCCATGCATCATAGCCACAATGTGGTTGCACCTAGCTGTGCTTTGGCCAAACACAGGGCACTAAAGCTCCCCAAGCTCGGTGGCCTAGGAGACACAGACCTAGGCTGTGTCCTGCATTGACACTTTCAGAGTCCAAGGATATTTATTCAAACATGACACTGTTCCTCCTTGTGGTCAATGTGGTTTAGAAGCAGTTGTTTGCATCTATGCAAGGCTCAACACAGGGATTTCACTTGTAGGAGTTCTTTGTACAAAAGGCAACATCAGTGTGATCAACTATTGCTGTAAAGTAGCCCTTGATTCTATTATTGGAGATAACTTGGACCTTTGTCTTCTTCAAGTTCAATTCCTAAATCTCTCTGTGTTCCAAATCCTCAGCTTTTTTTTTCTTCTTCTCTCTCTCTTGGGCATTCCCTAGTGTAACAACTCAAGAATAATGTAATTCAATGTTACTTGTATGCTTTATTAGACCAAAACAGTCTATTTTAAATGCTTCATTCTGTTGTTTGTTTGGTGGTGCCAATACTAGGGCTTGAACTCAGGGCCTAGGTATTATTTCAGTTTTTGTTTTTTTGTTTTTTTCTCTCTCAAGGCTAGCACTGTATTACATGAGCCACAGCTACATTTTAGCTTTTTTTGGTGGTTAACTGGAGATAAAGAGTCTCATAAGGGGCTGGCAAGGTGGCTCAGTGGTAGAGCACTTGTCTTGCATGCCTGAGGCCCTGGGTTCGATTCCTCAGCACCACATAAGCAAAAAGAAAAAAGCCGGAACTGGCACTGTGGCTCAAGTGGTAGAGTTCTAGCCTTGAGCTGAAGAGCTGAGGGACAGCGCCCAGGCCCAGAGTTCAGGCCCCACGACCGGACCCAAAAAAAAAAAAAAGAGTCTCATAAGCTATACTGCCCTGGCTGGCTTTATACTGTCATCATCAGATCTCAGCCACCTGAGTAGCTAGGATGACAGGCATAAGTATAACTGGTATCCAATTATTCTTTTTTTTTAAGCAGACTGGACTTTGAACTCAGGGCCTCATGCTTGCTAGGTAAAAATGCTCTACCAGTTGAGCCATGCCTCCAGCTCTTTTTTGCCTAAGTTATTTTTCAGGTAGGATTTTGCATCTTTTGCCTAAAGCTAGCTTTAGACACTGATGCTCCTACCTATGGCTTCCCCCAATAGCTGGGATTACAGGTACACGCCACTGTACCTGGCTTATTGACTGAGACTGAGGTCTTACTAACTTCTTGCTGGGGCTGGCTTTGAGCTCAGATCCTCTCTCCAACATCTGCCTTTTAAGAAGCTGAGATTTTAGGTGTGAGCCTCTGCACCCAGCTAAGATGTGGCTACCTGCATGAAGGGGGCTGTGATAGTCAGGAGTTAGAAGTGGGAGCTAGGGGGCTGGGAAGGTGGCTCAGTGGTAGAGTGCCTGCCTTGCATGCATGAGGCCCTGGGTTCGATTCCTCAGCACCACATAAGCAAAAAGAAAAAAGCCAGAAGTGGCGCTGTGGCTCAAGTGGTAGAGCGCTAGCCTTGAGCTGAAGAGCTGAGGGACAGCGCCCAGGCCCAGAGTTCAGGCCCCACGACCGGACCAAAAAAAAAAAAAGAAGTGGGAGCTAGGATTGGCACTATATACACTGTTAAACTGTGTGCCTTACGATTTTTATTGCATGTCCAATGTTACCCATCTACTCAGATTTTTAAAAAAATTATTTTGGGGTGGGAATATGGCTTAGTGGTAGAGTGCTTGCCTAGCATGTATGAAGCCCTGAGTTCAATTCCTCAGTACCACATAAACAGAAAAAAATCTGGAAGTGGCACTGTGGCTCAAGTGGTAGAGTGCTGGCCTTGAGCAAAAGAACCTCAGGGACAGTGCCCAGACCCTGAGTTCAAGCCCCAGAACTGGCACAACATTTTGTATTATGCATATTTTACCAAAATAAGAAAAACAGCAGAAATATTCAATGCCCCCATTGCAACTGCATTATGAAAAGGCAGACAGAAGAGAATTGGATTAATACATTTCTTTCATGGCTCTACCTGCCTGTATGATCTTAGACAAATCAATTGATCATTACTCTACTTTTTGATCTCTAAAATGAGGTAGCTATTTAAATATGCTGTAAAGTACCTTCTATGTTAGAAATTTATGGCTTTAGAAAGAAGCATTCTATAACCTCTCTTAACAATACCTCAGAATTAGTTGGACTTAATTTTTTCCAG